CACACATTTGGCGATTAAAATGTAATTGTTCACAATGTCTGCACTTAAATGCAAGTATAGGGGAGCAAGATGAGTGTCCTCAAAGGAGACAGAACATGCCCAAGAGGGTGAATGATGAGATCGGTTCATGTGCAGGAGTTAGATGTGGAATGCGGCATCCTAGGATGTCCACATCATGCCTTTCAGACAGCAGTGGATAGATCATGACCAATGATGGTGATGACGAAGAAACATTGTGAAAATGTCATCATGCTTCCTTAACTACTCCAGTCTTTCTGATGGCAGATCGAACAGCTGCACTTAAGACATGTGGGCAGTGCAATGTATTGACAGCACTTAGTCTCCTGCATTACATGGGACATGTCAAGATGCTGTCACCACCAGTGGTGGCTATTGCACGTCATGTCCCAGCCCCCCATTGGTCTTATTGTCTCTGTCTTTACAAGCTATGCTTTTGGAGTTACAACTTGGCATGAGCTGTGGACGCTGTACAAGCACCGATTATGTTCTGAAGCAGAATTTTGTTCTTGGATACGTTTCCAATCTCATCAGTCTGCAGCTGATACCATTACATTGTATTACGATGCATGCAGTTGCACCATCAATATGCCAGTGACCATAACCTTGTATATTAACATATTTTCCAGCCTGGAATTGTAAGTAAATTCTTAGAATCGAATACGATTCTTAATAGACTAGTGGGTACAGGTGGAATCCTGGCCAACTGGGCTGTGTGGAACCTGACATGCTCTTCAGGCAAGGAAGGGCGAAATATTAACTACCTTGCCTGGTATACAGGAGGCCGTGGGTTCGATCCCAACCCTGACACCTGTTATATTTGGAGTTTGCTTGTTCTCCCTGTGGTCACGTGTATTTTTCTTCAGGTCCATCGGTTTTTCTCTGCACTTTTAGAAATGTGTGAAGAGTATTTGGCTGCTATATAGTTCCAAATGATAAGCCACTTCTTTAAGCTATCATGTGTGTTCAGGTCACTTCTGAAAAAGAGCTATATAGCTCAGTGGGCCTTACCTGGTAAAATAAAAAAATAAATTTAAATCGTTTTCTTTAAGAGGGACTCCTGGAGCTTGACCACCAGCTTGGTGGAATCACCATTGAAGCAGATGGCTGACGCCTATGTCATACATTTCAATAGCAATTCTGGTCAATACAGGGTAGCTGGTATCGACCCAGATTCTAGCAATTCGGCACGTGTATATACAATTCAGTATTAGACAATTCCTGTAACATTTTATTTTGGTGATGGCCATGTTCAAATATTAAATCTGTTTAATTTAATTGGGGTTTTGACAAGGATTCTTCTTTGGTGGATGTGTCCATTGGAATCGCAAATAGTTAAGCTACGGCTGTACTTAGCTGGTTGATACTGGCTTGAATTATTATTATTCCATTCTTAGATATAAATCCAGTTTAGGAATGGTGAGAATTACCCAGCTGTAATGTGCATAATAAAATGTGATTGTTATACAAAGTGAATAATTGATGTTTATAAACTTTAATTCAGCCAATGACATCCACAAACATCGGGAGGGAAGTATCTCATTAAACCCAAATAACCGTAATGTTATAGACATTTGTGGTGGGAGTATTAACATCGGCTGTGATGATGCCTTCATGTACAATTATGATAATGATGGTAATAACGATTTATCTTGATATAGCGCCCTATGTTCTGGGGCATCTTTGTGCACGTCACATCATCTCACCAATCTTGAACTTTATCGTAAAAAAAAATCTGTCCACACACTTTATATTTAAAAAGCATATTTACAGAAATAATATATTAAAACAGCATAATTTTTAAAGAAACGTATAGCAGTGTAATGTCACATAAAAAAAATTACAGGCTGGAACAGCACTCCCACCCTTACCATTATTTCTTATGGCAGAATTTCTCCTGCTTAACACGAATTTGCTTAATGTGGCAATTTTCAGGCACGCAACCCCCGCATTGAGCGGGGACTTGCTTACAAGACCTCATCTAAACACATTTGAAAGGGCACCTCCAGAGACAGCTGTCCCTATGGGCACAAGCTGACTCGGTGCCTCGCCTGCAAACTGGCATTAGTCTTCCAGTAGGGGGTAGGGGGTGATGATCTGTTTGTATGATTCCAATTGAGTAATTTGTGGGTCATATTTTAATCTGGAAAATGTTGGACTCTGACGTGACACACAATGTCCTACTTTTGCAGATTCTTTAACGTCCACTGTAAAGCAGACGCGTTTTAATATCGTGGCTATTAAATCCGCATTAATACTCAGGCCTGTCACTTGATTTGAACCGTAAACCTCTGCACGGAGCAACAAACACGCGACTGCTAGGCCAGGTCCGTGCACCTAAATGCATAATGTCAGAAAAAAGGGGAAAAACCCTATTATATTTTGGTACTGGCAAAGGAGGTCTAATGATATAAATGTATTGTGTTTTTAAAAAGGTTTTATTTTCATCGCATAATAATGCTGCCATGGTTCTGATACCCATTCACATTGTGTGCAGCTGTGCAGCTGTGCATATCAATATCAGGGTAATGCATGCAAAAGGTGCAGCGTGACTTCCGTTAACTCCTGCCTCCTTGACGTTGACTGGAGAAAAACAATCACTTTCCTTTGCTATTTGCACAAAATTGTATCGCGAGGTATTCGGACCATGTCCTTGTAATGGAAAGCGGGGAGTTTTTATGCCATCGTTAATGCACCTTGCTAATGTGAAGCTTCTTTGTGAGAATAAACACGTAGGCTTAGAAAAACTAAGCCTACGTGTTTTAAAAAAAACGATTTGCAATTATTTTTCGAAGGATGAGAAGAGATGCACAGTAATCGTTTGCACACCTGGAAAGTATAAAAGCTATATACTTGTAGAATTTGACTAATGTTCACTGACATTTTTGGATAATGACTAATGGGCTGGATTACCCAAAGAAGTGCCATTGCCAGAAAGACAAGTACTGTATTCGGTTTACTGAGATATATTTTGACAGTTTAACTTACAATTGCCTTCATTCATGAGTTCGTGTATAGGCTTGATCTGCCAGTGCAGCCGAAATAATTTTCGTATCGACTCTGTAATAACTTGGTGTCCTGAAACGCTGGGGCTTTCTCCTCTCTGGCCAGCTGGATCGATTGGTGTCCCCGTGTGATGGAGTGGGATGGGAGTTAGGCTTCCTAGCCTGGGGCCAGGCACTGCTCGGGCACATTTTTTGCTCACCGAATGCGCTGTCAGCAAACGGGATCAAAATGTACAAGGGTTTCATTTTCATTCATTCACGATCATACATAGAACCATCCCCAGTGTTTGCAGAATGGGGTTGTGTGTGGTTCATGCGTGCTGGTATTTATTTCAGCTTTAACATCAAACATGGCACTGACAACTGTAGTAATTCTTACCAAAACAATAAGACCTACTGTAACGCTACACTGTTAATGCCAACAGAAAGACTAAATATGACCTTGGCAGTGGGTATAACTCAAATACAACGCCTAAGTATTTAATGTAATTCCTAACGTGTGTTTATGTATTGAGTACATAAACGATACTTTGTTCAATTACTTTATAGCATTATTGGGTGTAAGGAATCCATAAGTACTGAAACTCAGTAGTTTATAAGTATGTTTCACAAATATTAATGGAGCTTTGTGGGTTGTGACCTGCTATTTTTCCAACTAAAAACCTATTGTATGCAAAGGGAAGCCGCACGAGGTTACAGCTTAATCATTCCACTTACAGCTGAATTTATAATAAAGCACATCCACATGATTTTACAGGGGGAGGTCATCGTAATGTAATTATTATACTGTGAAATCACATTTGTCACATAGATCATTACTCAATTTAATTAGATCATAACACTCCCCAGAGACCTAGAAAGTCTCCATTCTATAGTATTTCTAACACTACAGCAAGAGGAATGTTTGAGTTTGTGAAATTTTTGGTATTACACGTTGCAATCATTGCCCCCTACTGGCAGACTAATGCCCACTTGCAGGCCGGTGCTAAGTCACCTCGCGCCACACAGAGACAGCTGCCAATGGGAGTGCCATTTGAGATGAGATGCAATGTCAGGCGCTTTGAGTTGCTGAGGCATTTAAGTAACCATATAATGTAAAGTTTTTTTAAACGATGAAGACAAACAATCTGCCTAGTTTACACACGCGGCCATTTTAACGCATGCAAGGTTTGGTGATAACAATGGGTTAAACTTTAGTTTTTTGCATGGATGCCAACCGTGTAAAGATTTCCTTTTACACGTGGTTTGTTTAAGTGAGGTCATATACCCTCATTTCCAGGAATTGGTTATTAAAAAAAACTATACTTGGAATTTATTTTATATTAGTGTTCGCACTATTCCATTCAAGCATCGTTTTTTGTTTGCCAGCGTTTTTATTTTATTGTAAAACTGTTTCGTGCATATTAAACATGGTGCTTAAACTGTCCACAAACCGCATAGGTGTATCTCAACATTAGAAAAATAATAAAATCATCACGACGTTTTGATCGCAACACAAGCAATTGTCTTTTCGTGTGCAGTTAAGTACACGTTCTTCTGTGTATATTGCTTTACCGAAAGACCCATAGAATATGTATTCCTGCAGTCATGAAAGCTTTGAGTCAAGATTTCCCCTGTACATGCTTCGGAAGAATGTGACTATGCTATGTATACGACAGTGAATGCTTCAGCTCTGTCAAAACAGCTTTAAAATCGATTTATCTTGATAAAAGCAGTGTTATGTAAGTGCAGGGAGATTTTCCTGACCATCACAGTGACTATTTTACAAACACTAAAATATATACTTAACCTGCAACCAAGTTGAAAGATAATAGTTAACACCTGGCTTGCACAGGGGAACCCTAGGGGTCGGTACCAGTGGGTAGATGCCGATACGCGTTGCCATGGTGTGCATTCGCCCACTTGACTCGGGCAATGGCGATAGCCATGAGGTTTGTTTTCTTTAAGCCACTGGCGCTGTTGCGCGTTCCCCAACAGGCCCAGGCGAGAGACCGCGGAGCGCGATGCTGTGTTGGGGGAACACGTCGTTCGGGCAGCTGGGCCTCGGTGGCATCGACGAGGAGATCGTCAAAGAGCCGCGCCGCTGCACCTTCTTCGCGGGCAGCAGCGGCGGCCGTGCCGCGGGCCTCCGGGCGGTCGCCTGCGGCCGGAGGCACACGCTCTTCCTCATGGAGGACGCCACCGTCTACAGCTGCGGCTGCAACGACCTGGGCCAGCTGGGGCACGACAAGACTCGCAAGAAGCTCGGTGAGCCCCAAGGGGCTTTTGAGAGCTCTCTTTGTTGAAGCCACCAGTTGGTTGGCGCATGTGCCCATTGGTGTCAGGGTTTTACAAGTTCCGCTTTCACGAGTCTTTTTGATGCCAATAGCACATTTTTTACGTGACCATAATTGCGTGAGAAAAACAACAAAACTTCAAATGTTTGGGGCAGTAGAGGCAGTGGTGATGCAGTGGTTCTGCTCTAAACCTGGCGACCTCAGTTTGATACGCGGTCACGGCTAACATCACTGGCGACTGATATGCGATCCTGACCTTACCCCCCCCCCCACTTTACCAACTGACCAGCTGGGTGAAATATGGTAATACGGTTTCTCATAACCAACTCAGAGTGGTGAGGCCTTCATCCATCCGTGGACTATAAATTTGTATTATTATAGATCTACATTGCTACTCAAGAATCGGCAAATTTTTTCTATGATATGAGAGAGTGTTAGTTTTAATATGATAATGTGTTTTAATGTCATAAGTGCAAGTTGGGGAATTACTTAAAACCGCTGAACTATAACAATGCTCCCCAATGCTAACCTCCCTCCGGCAAATGGATGCCGTTTCGTTGGTAATGATGTGTTTTTTTATTATAAAGCATTGTAAGCACCCTGGTGTTCCAAATTGGTCTATGGAACCGTGAACACATTTTCTTACAGTTTATTTTTCTAAGTCAAACCTCTCATGAAGTGGGGTATATAATTGTTATTGTTTTATGTGGCATTAGTATAATCTATTTACATTTTCCATCCACTCCTCGTGAGTCATTTATTCATCCGGCAATATTTAATCCGTCATGTGGCGTTCATCCTTCTATCTTCATTGTTCATAATCATCAGTGGTCCTTGAATAAATGTGGATTAAAACAACACAGTCCCATATTTAATCATTAGAAACCCATTGGTTTGGTTTAAACTGCTGAGTATTTCTAGAAATTTTTCAGAAATATATCTGGATCCATAATTTTTCCTGTCTGCTTTGAATATATATATTTTTACGACACAACAAATCTGACGACAGTACAATTCGCATAATTTTGGTAACCAGATTTACGTGGAATATCTCTACAGTGTGTGAAGCACTGGCTCCGTAAGTGAACTTTAAATAGCGTGTGAGCAGTGCAAATGACACACTCTGTTCAATGTGCAATGTAAGCAGACTAAGTCTTCCCTGCGTGTGAGCACGTGAGGTACAGCCAATACATGAATGCGTGTTGTACCGAGCCACAAATCATTGGGTTAACCGATATTGACACAGCCGTTGTGCACACTCTTTGACCATGAAAATGCACGCCAGCACTCTCTGCGTCATGTTGCAACGATTAAAATGTGGCACGTCGTATTTGTATCTCGCAGTAGTTGTGCCTGAATATGCTTATGTGAACTTAATAAGGCGCAACTATAATGACACTACTGCAAAAGTCCTATTTAGGGCATGTAGTCTTTTTAATTCCATGTTTATTGAAAAAAATGCATTCTAATCTTGGTTGAATTCCAGGAAATTGGAAAATAGAGAATCTGAGTTCTCTGAATATTAATGTTGGTTGCTTTTCATCATCAGCTCGTGCCGAATACAAATCAGCAACCCAGTGGCTCCAAAGGCTGTGAAATGCGTGTTGCTTATTTACAAACTATGTCATACTCACTGTATATTGACCTAATTTTATGTTTTATGCGTGGCTCTCCAACACACTGGCGTGCTGTACTAGTGACGAATTGGTAGGTTCTGTTTACGTGACAACCCTTACGAGTTGGCTGTGTCGGGTAGTGGCGGGTTTAACGACACATTTATATATTTATTACGCGATCTAAACCAAAAAACCTCTTATGGATGATATTGGTCGCGAAAGTCTACATGTTAAACTATTGACAGTGTTTAAAAGTGTGCAGTATCCAGTATAAGTCACCATAACTTAGCATTAGGTTTGCTCAGTCCACAGCATTACAACAAAGGGTATGCACAGTACCACTTCGGCAAGTCTCTTCTGTCTATATATTACACTGCTGCTGCACATCCCATGTCTGTCTGTTGTCACTGACATATCAGATTTCCAGTGACGATCCGTCATTGCTAAAGGTTATCTTCCTGGCCTCCGCTCACCTCCCCCCACCGCGATTGGTTGAATTCGAAATTTTCACCGAAGGCTGGACCAATCGACCCACTCGGTTTTGGCCACCGGGGCAAGTGGCGCGAACAACTCAAACATGAAGTGGTTCATGTAATGAAGTGGTGCATGTAAGTGGGAAATGTAAACGTTTGAATTGAGGCTTCCGAATTTTTGTCCGCCGTCATCGAGTGTGCGGTTCACGATGAGTGTTTGTGTGTAGTGTGTGTCTCTTGAGTGGTTGAGTGTCTGGTGGGTGTCATCTGGTGAGTGAGTTTGCGAGCATTTGGTTAGTGTCAGGTAATTTCTTGACTTCTTTTATTTAGTTACATGGGTAAGGACCTGGGTGAAACAAAGGAAGTTGTGCACTACTTTGCGCTGCACACAACTTGACGTGTGGGTATCTTGTATAATGGTGAGAAAAATTGCCCTCCACGTACGGCTGACTACACGTGTAGGTGCAGCCGTAGTAGGTCTGTGTGTCTGCAGGTTTGTGCATGCAAGCACTTGCAAGTTACCTAATGCTTTCAGTGCTTCATAATCACTCGGACAATAGCTTGTCTCCGTAACAGCCAAAACACATTTGTCATAAGTGTTACGCATGCATGAATTAATTCACGGGTGAAAAAAACAAACCCAAAACGCAAACTCGGGATGCTTTTTGTTTTTGCTTGGGTTGCCTGTTTATTTTTAGCTAGTAATCTATTGTGTGTTTCTATACCCACGTCGTTGAATGCCATAAAGTGATTAATTGAGGTAATGATTTTAGAAAAGGTACTCTGTAACATTAAAAAGCACGAGATTACTTTAGTTTGTGTTAGGCTCCTGAGGTCATGTTTCATAAGATGCGTAGCACAATAATTTCCTTAAATTTGATTTTGTTTTATAACTTGGGAAGATTAATCAATACATTGTCATAATGCAACAATTTATAAACTAAACATGACCACTAAAAGAAGGAAATGTACGTTTCTGTCAATTTTAGCTCCATCCACTTTTGGCAAAATAAGTAGTGCGTAGTCGGTTATTGTACAAATAAGCAATACGATCCCAATAGATTTCTTGTCTGAAGTGAAACTGCAGTGTAATTTAGTATCGTAATAGTCGAGTGAATTTCAATAACACTCCATCTAGAGCAGATCCACATCGCAGCATTACAACAGCTACCTATTTTCAATACAACTTTAAAGTTGTACGAAATAAATACGTACTGTAGTCTGAGATCCTTCAACAGAGGAATCGCAAAACTACACAAATCCTCTCTCTCATGGCTATCAGACGTCGACATTGGCGTCTATCTCCTGAGCGTATTTGCCATGCGCAATAATCGTTAGACTCGCTCCTGTTTTTATTACAAGTTTAATTGGTTTTTGATTGTTGGATTCCAGTTTGGGGAAGAAAGAAAATTACCGCGTGTTTTGCCCTTGTACCTTTTTAACCGAGCAACGCGTTCCCATTCTATTATCTAAACTTCTCATGTCCATGCATGTATCTCCTTTTATCCAGCTCTTATCTTTTTTACAATGTACTGTACATATCTTCTTATTCGTATTCGTAAGGTGGCTTCATTAATGGAATTTTTTTAGATACTTGGAATTGGCAGAGCAGTAATTGATAAAATTATTGTCTTGCTCGTATTTATTTATGGGTTTTCTTACATCTTGGCACAAAACAAATTTGTTATCAAGATTGTAGAACATCCCCACCCACTGTCGTATATAGAACAATTATTTTACAACTGCATTCCTTTATATTCTTGGTTCTTTTGGTAAAGTCACGTAGAAGGGAAATAATAAAATAAAATAAATAAAACATAATAAAATGACAGCGTCTTAATGTTTAAGACGCTGTCTTTCCGACAGCTCTGTTTCTTCACCTGAGGACGGCTGCTTGCGTTGTGGCCGAAACGTCGTGAGAATTTCATTTTCAGAATCAGAATCAGAAACGGTTTTAATCGCCATGTAAGTTTGCACAAACAAGGAATTCACTATGGCGGGACGGTGCATACATTGAACAAGTAGGAATCTTAACTTATATAAAAGGTATACACTCTAACTATACTAACGTTACAAAGTATAAGTAATACCAAACGGCTAAAATCTTTAAAATTATGAATAAGTAGACCTTATAAAATGCGAATGTAAAATGTTAATTAGCCGTATTAAACAATCTTAAAATACAAAAATACAAATAAGATTACACGTTGTAAGTATGGAAAGGTGTAATTATGTAGATAAAATGTTATAGTAAGTGTAACAGTCATTTTAAGTGTAAAAGTCATTTTAAGCCCTTGGCCTTGTTGAGGAGGCCAACAGCAGATGGGAAAAAACTGTTTTTATGACGTGAGGTTTTGGTCTTGATGGACCGCAGCCTTCTGCCGGAGGGGAGTAGCTGGAACAGAGAGTATCCAGGGTGCGAGGAATCGTCCGCAATCTTCCTTATATTTTATTTTTATTATTTTCCTTCTACGTGACTTTACCGAAAGAACCAATAATATGAATCCCTGCAGTCACGAAAGCTTTGAATCGAAAATTACATTCCTTTAATTGTGTGATCCTGTGTACAGTCTGCACTGTTCAGGAATTGACTTTTCCAGGAAACTCATCAAAATCCGGGAGTCAAAAGGCCATGGTTGGGGAGCCTTTTCCAGTGTTAATGCCAGGGTCAAGGCTGGTGCCTCGAACCCAAGCCCTGGGACCGAGGCCACACCCCCGAGGTGGAGGTCCGGCACGGGAGCTGAGAACATGTCCAAGCTGGTCTCAAGGCCCAGGACTGAGCTGGAGGACCGAAGACTGCTTACCAGTTTTTTTTTTAATTTGTTAACCAAGTGCACGCCGGGCTGTGTTTCCCTGAAGCTGACAGTAGCGCACTCTCACACGTACGTCTGTGTCTGCGCGTGTGCGACTACAGAACAGGTGAGTTCCTTGGACACTCAGACCATTGTGGCGGTGGCGTGCGGAGACTCTCACACGCTCGCTCTCAACGACAAGGGACAGCTCTTTGCCTGGGGCCAGGCATCCGAGGGCCAGCTCGGTCTGCCAGGAACGGACGAGATAGTGCGTGTGCCCAGGTGGGTACGAGCCTCCTGCCTTGCGCTTACAAGTGAGAGCTGGGAACTGATGTTGGTACTTTCATGAGGACACTCGCTTGTAAGGACATTGAGTGATGAAAAGCAATTTGTCCATTTGGCTCATCAATTGATAAGATTGTTCAGACTAGTCTGTTTGCTTAAGATCTCATCATCTTCCAATTACCAATATGTTTTTAATAAACTATGTTTTATCATACGTAAAGTGCCGTGAGATGCCCTGGTATGAAAGTCGCTTTATGAAAAATAAACTATTATCATCAACAATGACTTTATGTTTTGCTCTTTCCTTTAAATTTATGATTACACATTTTTCACTGGCAAGGTAGGTTGTTTATGCATCAAGCATAGCAAGCTTACGCCATGACACGGTGCACATGTGAAGAATACCTTTACCGGCTCTGAGACAGTCCACTTTACATCGGATAGCTCCACTTGAAGATGCGCTTCAGCTTTATTTTGCAATCTTTGTTTAAATTAAGGCCTCTCTGTGTGCCAGTATAATCTCTGATGGCCACCAGTCACCTTTGTGTTCCTCAATTACTGTACTTGAAACTGTAGAACATTATATTGTGGATTAGATGCAGTCGTTATTCTCATTTACTGTGTTGCAGGCATGTGAAGACATTGGCAGAGGTACCAATTGTGCAGGTAGCCTGTGGACACCATCACTCACTGGCGCTCGCAAAAGGTACATTTGCAAAGGCACCTAATCTTTACACCTCAAGGTTTACTTACACTTAGGTTAAGTTACCAATTAGATCATAACTGTGGCATGCTGGGAAGTATAAGCAGGTATAACCCTGGGCTTAATCCCCACACAGATTTTACAAAGCACCGTGATGCCAGCACTAAACTCCTAAAATGCATGTCAAGTTGGGCATGGTCAAAATACAGTGGAATTTCTTTCATCTGCTGGTTCCAAAACCACATATAAACAGTAGGAAAAACTTACACAAAAAAATATCAGGGATGAAATTAAGAATAATATTTTACAAGGAACCTTTATCAACACAGCATGCAGAGGAAGGTGTGCTGGCTTTAAAGAGAATGTTAAGCTGGTAGAGATTAGATTTTTAGCAACGCCAATCAGACCACTTTAGAATCCACTTTGTCAATGTAGATTCCAGAGCGTGACTTCTCTCTGAGCTTTAGCAATGCTGTGGAGAAAAAAAAATCCACATTCTTTCGGATAAATTGTGATTCATAAATTATCATGCAATTTTTTTTATTCATCAGAATTGTTATCATGCATATATACTGTTTTTAAAGTATTACATTGATTTAATAATATTGTTTAACGGCCTATGTGAAATAGTAAGCTTTCAGCTTGGGTAAGTAGAGTCATTATTTTCAGGTAGACTGTTTCTTAAGTAAATCTGGGAAGCTAGTTGCAAGCAAAATGTACAACCTGAATTAATGTGAACCTCTGTTTCTGACATGCCCAGATGTTCCAACTGTTTTCTTTGTTAATGTGTTCAGAAAAACAAAACATTAGGGGGCCACCTTTACTGCCCTGGCGCTTCAAATGCCTGGCTTACATAAATACGTTTACAGAGACTCGGACATGTATCTGAGGTCTATTCACGAATGCACTTGCATTATGTGAGGACACCGAATAGTTGTTTAAATCGGTGCTGTGGAATAAATGAATTTTAATGAGACAGCACACAGCATGATTTCACATTTTAAATGCCATATTGCTGTTCTGTTCATGTACATGCTGTTCCTATGTAGCCTTAACATGTCTGTAATTGATCTGTTGTACCAAATATTCACTCTAAGGTCTTGGCTTTTGTCATTTTTATTATTATCTATGCAAATGTGACATCACAACACATGCTATTTGCAATAATAGGGCTTGTTAAATGACTATAAAGGAGATGAGTTGCTCATCACACAAAGCTATCATGTTAATGTTTGCCAGCATAATGGCTGCATTCTCTGTATTTATATAACCAACATCCACTGAGTATTATAAATTTGCATACACTGGAACACAGTGAGTCATTCGTACAGATAATACCATAGGTGCTTTACTTTACCCCCCAACCCACAAATTAATAGACTGAACGTTCTATTCACAAGACACTAGCACTCTCTTAAGAATGTTCCAGCACTACATTATACACACGGGGTTGGTAAATTGGGGGCTCATTCCAGTTAAAGAACAGCTGACCTTGGACTCGAGAGTGAGCTACAGGATGTCCCTTTGCCACGCAGACATTTCTGTATTAGCCGCCACGACATTAACTGAGCTTCCAAAGTCAGAGATAATTCAGCCTATTTATGTGCACGGCCGAATCGTATACTTTTATATCTTTTTCATTCTTTGACTACCAGACTCTTGGTAATAACACTGTAACACGTTTTTTTTGTTCCTGGGTAGTAAGTGTTCATTTCTAATTGGTTATGCCTCAAAAGTACAGAAAATGGCTATTATTCCCCACAAACTTTACTTTTGTGACCAGGACAGTGATATTTTTTAATTGACCTATTTTCAATGAGAAAACACATGAATTTGTGTCTTTTCGGTCACATAAAGTCAGAAATAAACAACAAGAATTCAAATTTACATGTATTTATACTAAACTAATACAAAAATGACTTATAAAGATTTAGACACCAAGGTGCACTACCACAGGCGGGACTGGCCACAGCGGACTGAGTTCTCTGTGGGGAGGAACAACGTCAAGTGGGAGCCACTGGTGGACCCCTGGAAGGTGCTGATGCCACCACTGCACATAAAATTTGGCCTTGTGAAACAATTTGTCAGAGCTGTAGATTAGGAGTCAGCAGCCTTCAAGTACCTTCAAGACTTCTTCTCTAAGCTGTCTGAGGCAAAGGTCAAAGCCGGTGTCTTCGTCGGACCACAGATAAAGAAGATCCTGGAGTGCAGTGAATTCCCCAAGAAGCTCACGAGTAAGGAGAAAGCGGCTTGGAACGGCTTTTGTCGCAGTGGTCCGTGGCTTCTTGGGCAATCACAAGGTCAAAAACTATGTGGAGCTGGTTGAGACTGGTGAAGAACTACGGCACAATGGGCTATAGGATGTCCCTCAATATCCATATCCTTGATGCTCATCTTGATACATTCAAGGAGAACATGGGAGCGTACTCGTACAAGCAAGGCGAGCGCTTCTACTAAGATATACTGGACTTTGAATGCCGTTACCAAGGACAGTATAACGAGAACATGATGGGAGACTACATTTGGGGGCTGATTCGTGAAAGTTATTTATAGTATAATTGTAAATCTCGAAAAACTACTCGCTTATAAATATTTTGTAGTCATTTTTGTATTACTTTATTATAAATGCATGTTTATTTTGATTCATATGTTTTTTTTTCTGACTCTGAACTAAAAGACACACATTTGCCCGTTTTCTCATTGAAGATAGGTAAATTTCAAAATATCACTGTCTTGGTTATAAAAGCAAAGTTTGTGGGGAATAATAGCCATTTTCTGTACTTTTGAGGCATAAGCAATTACAAGATAACACGTACTACCCAGTAACAAAAATTGTGTTACATAGTGTAATCAAGAGAGAATTTAAACCTGTTGACCAGATTACAAATCGACATGTCGAGTTGTAGGTTCAACCTGTTGGCCTGGAAAAAAAACCACAATTGCTTTTTGAAATTGTTAGGAAAATAATTCACAATTCTGTTGATTGTGTATGGCCATGCTTAACCTTGGTCTCAGCTTGGGCTTCGTTATTAGGATGAATAACCTCCTCTGCTTGGGAAATGTAAATGAACACGACTCCTGTACTTGCGCATTACAGCAGTGATGTACGCTGTACCACTGGGGTGTTACATTTGATATAAGTGGCACTCTGTAAATGTGAATTAAAAATGACAACTGTGTTAAAACAACAAAACTCAAATTTGATGTGAAATTTTGCTATGACTCTTAGCAACGATGTAGAGATTATAGACCATATCTGGGAAGATTTTGTTTTTGAACATTCTTATGTTTAACTTCCTGTGTCAGGTGAAACTCTAAAGCCCTACTACAAGCAATGTTTTTGGTGTTCCCTTTTTTTATGCTGCACGTTTTGTTATCCTGCAGCTGACTTGCCTGGTAATAGGGCTCATTACTCCAAATGGAAACAAATGAGCATATATGTAGACTGATTTATTCTAATATGTGTATTGTGCTGACGTGGCTGTGCAGTACATGTGGCCAAAACACAAATGCGTGGTTTGATATAAAGCTGCCGTATTTAACCATAAGTGGCCATTAGTGGCCATTCAAAAAGGCAATAATTTCTCGACTTAAGGAATGCCACATGTATTGCATTGTTGACACTTGGGCTATCCGTTCTTATTATAATGTATGTAGAACACTGTCTTGTGTTGCCCCGAATGTGTCAAAATACTCTGACAAGGGTGGCTGGCTGACAAGGAGAGTTACCTCCCTTCACATTGAGTTCAGTTTAATTGTAGACAGATGCCAAGTGAAACGGCACAAATTGCCTGCACCTCTTATGTTATTCGGGGCGAAAAAAATACATCAAAGCAAAGGTGACTTTAAAGTAAAATGTTTCATTTTTACAGACTTGCCATAATGAGCCCGATTCCCATATGTTAGGGTACTTGATAGGCATTGTTTTAATGAGGCCGTATGTTATCCGGACAACACTTTATCGTTACCTATTAATTTACAAGGCTAAACTATTTTTATTTTACCAGGTAAGGCCCACTGAGCTGTATAGCTCTTTTTCAGAAGCGACCTGGCCACAAATGATAACTCAACGAAGTGGCGTATCACGTGGAAATTTATAGCAGTCAAATACTCTTAAACGCATGATTCAAAATGTGGAGGGAAAAACCGGAGGACCCGGAGAAAAATCCACACGACCACAGGGAGAACGTGCAAATTCCAAATATGCCAGTGTCAAGGTCACAATCGAACTCACGACCTCCTGTATACCAAGCAAGGTAGTTAACATCTCCCCACCGTGGCGAGTTATCTACATAATTGCATTTTATTGGTAGCCAGTACTCCAATGGTATTTGTTTTTACTCTTTAACTCCAACGGTTACAGGTCTATTTTTTATCGCTGGTCACCTTATGCGAAATCGATTTTTTGACCATTGCCTGCCATCAGTGAACTCGGTCTGAAATGACCAGTCATTTGCCATTTTGCTTTTATAGCTTGTAAACTTCAAGAAGCCTATAATAAGCACACTTGACAATGGTAGGCCATTACGTATCATCATTAACATATCATTAGCAATAAGGCCCTTTTAAATGTGTGATACACTTGAAGAGATATGTCTATAAATTGATAAAATTTCGCAATAAATTTAGCAATAACATTTCTTGTCAGATGCTTGTTTGCTTCATCATCCTTACTTCCCCTTTAATTAAGGGGTGAGCAATCTAGCAGCTAAATATGCACATCTCCTAAGACTGACACATGGTGCTGTAAAATCTAGACATCTGACTAGGCTTATACTGTGCAAGTGAATTTAATCACATCTATTTTTTTTTTATCGCACTAAATCTCTTTTAAATTAACTCGACTAAGGAACATCGCCACATGATTGTGGTGCATTGTGACATATTGAAACAGTGACAACAATACAGCAACCTGTCCTTTGCAGGCGCACCTGTGTGTCGGAGCGGACGTGGTGGCAATGTGTGAAATCGCTCGGCATCGTTTAAGACTGACGTCTGCTTGGTTGTATGGTGGGGGGTGGGGTACAGATGGTCGCCTCTTCACGTGGGGCAGCAACCGCTATGGGCAGCTTGGCGTGGGCAGCTTCAGGGGCAGCCAGCGGACTGCGCAGCTCGTGCACACCCTGCAGGGTGTGCCGCTGGCGCGCCTGACCGCCGGCAAAGCCCACAGCCTGGCGCTCACTTGCTCCGGCGCCGTCTTCGCCTGGGGACAAAACAACTTCGGGCAGCTGGGTCTCAGCGATGAGATCGGTGGGTGGCAGCGCTTGTCGCGGGTTCTGCTTCGTGGGGTTGGCTAAAGGGAAATCGGTTCGTGTGCGGCTGCTAGGCGGATTGTTATTACTTGGCGGAATCGGCAGAGGTGGTGGCGGTGGCTTTGGGGATGTCCTTCTTTCAGCAGTCGGTTTACCATGGGTAATTATGGTGGTGACACATTCATATGTCTATGAAACTATGTTAAACCTCACCGGTGAATTCAGAATGTCAACAGTTTGTCACTGACAGAGAGGGAAGAACAATCTTGAAATTTCAGCCAACTGGCCTTAAAAATGTTACGGTGTAAAATATGACACAAAATGTAAAAATATAACCCCTCAGTGACTATTAGAAGCCCGTTTTTCTAATCTGTTATACACTGCATTAACTGAAAGCAATATTACACTTATACAGGATACCTACAGACTGAAAGCAGCAGAACACTTATTTATACAGGATAACTACAGACTATTGTATTCCATTTAATAATTGTGATAATGTAGCTTCACCGAGCTGAGTTAAAATTTTTAAAGTACAATAATTTTTTTCTTATTGTGTTCAATGCAGTGAAGTCACATATAATCAGTGACTGCTTGACACTAATTGTGTTGATATTTTTTGTGACACTAGCGTAGTACAATATATGGCTATTTGGGAAATTTTAAGACGTATTTTTTATTATTTTTCCTATGCGGCAAAGGAAAGTGGCACGGCACTTCAGCATTGGTTTTTGACCAAACCAACCCATTGTGTGCATCATTTTGGCTGTAATAGGCGCTTGCTAAAAGCAGTTGCACCAGTCTGTGAATTCTTATGGAGATGTGTCTGTCTGTATGTGCACATTGCAGACAAGTGCTACCCTGCTCTACTGAAGTCCCTCCGCACACAGAAAGTTGTTTATATCTGCTGTGGAGAGGACCATACCGCTATTCTTACTAAGGTATGCTAAGTGTATATAGCCCAATGGCACAAGTGTTGACGATCACAGACGAGCCCTGATTTCTCCATCCGAGTGGAGACAACCGCACTCCTCAAGGCCATGATTAAAGTTGTTGTTTGAAGAAGGTGTAGCGACCTACCCTTTTTGCCAGGAATCCAGGCTGTCTACTGAGACAATGCTTCCATCGAGAGATGGATTTTCCAAAAGATGCATCCGAAATATTCAAAATGCCGAGCCGAGCTTGTAGAAGATGTCTTTTGAGGGCATCTGTGAAGGCTGGCACCAAGTGATAGGAAACGATTTTCAGAAGACTGGAGAATCTCCTGCCATCTGTGAGGGTCGGTGTGTTGGTGGACCACCGACCGTATTTATACATCGTGAATTCTTTCACGTGTAACTTTCACAGCGTTAGAGCAGCAGATGCACAAGAAAAGATTTACTTGGCAATGTTCTGTGAGTGGACGTCAGCCCATATAGCCATCTGTGTCACAAGGTGAATATATCACCAGTTTTGCACCCCATTAAGAAGTAGGCTGGTGATGGGTTATATTGCAATTGGGTAGTCAGTATAGATGTTTATTTGTGGAATGAATATTGTCAGCATAAAGTCACGCAAGGGAAATGGCCTTGCAAGTTGACACAAAAGAATCGTAGTCAATGTAATTTCAAAAGGGCTCTCAATCATTACATTGGTCTTCTTCATTCTGTTGAAGGGAAATCTGAGTCGGACAATATATTTAAACTTTAACTCGGATATCCGTTTAAAGTTAAATGATTTGTAAATAACTCCTTAATGATATGATAGTGGGTTGGCTCAGGTAATGGTGATCTGGCTGAAACCATCAAACTTGCTCCACTGAATATCCTGGTTTTGATCCGACTGCATAGGTTTTGTGGTTGTGCGATGCAGCTCTCGAGGTGGAATCACATTGCAGAACCACCGGGTTTTAATCTTGGGAAACATCTTGATGGTGCTGGTTAAATAATATTAAAACACATTCACTGTGGGATCCACTTAGTCTCCAATCAAGTCGCAGATTTCCACATTTTGGTATCTTCTGTTGTTGGTGCTTATGCATATCAAGTGGCCCTGTAGAAATCTGTGAAAACCCAGGCAGCATGCTCTGCATTCTGCACGGAAGAACAGTGTTGCGTGTTTAATAACTAACTTTTATTTGATACGATTTGAATTGATCAAGTCTTTATTAACATTGGCACATGGCCAAGGCTTTTTATATGGACGTTCTCGTGGATTTTTTAAATGTTAGGTTGGAGTGTTTTTTGAGTGGGTTTTAAGATTTACTGTTTTGTAAGTGTGTGGGCATGAAAAAGTAATCTACTGATGTTTACTGTGTTGAGCCTGTGTCTGTCTATAAGCAATGAATGTATTGAGTCAAGGAAGAGCAGCTAGCAGCAGACCATTGCATGTGGATCTGGGACACTTGTCTAAATATCCATTTTAAATTTGATTAGTAGACGTGAAGCAGGTAGCCACAGCATTGCATAGTGACCTGATTTTTGAACTGGGTAAATATTACACCAAAACTGTCTAAGATACTTATTCTTGGTTCTTTCGGTAAAGTCACGTAGAAGGGAAATAATAAAATAATCTAAATATAAAACAATAAAAATTCTCACGACGTTTCGACTGCAACACAAGCAATCATCATCAGGTGTGAAATCCAAAGCAAGAACATTTTATTGAAATCTACAGCAAGAAAATTTTCTTGCTGTGGATTTCACACCTGATGATGATTGCTTGTGTTGCAGTCGAAACGTCGTGAGAATTTTTATTGTTTAATATTTTTAATATTTCCCTTCTACGTGACTTTACCGAAAGAACCAAGAATATGAATACCTGCAGTCACGAAAGCTTTAAATCAAAAATTTTCTAAGGTCCTCCCTATGTTATTGCTTTTCCGACACTAATCGCAGTGTTAAGGATTCATATTCATGAATCCCTGCAGTCATGAAAGCTTTAAATTGAAGTGTTAATGATGTTTATATTCATCTGCAGCCATGCACAATTTGATGTAATTTTCCTTCGTCATTGTGTTCAAGCCCAATACATTTTCAGAAGCCATAACACAGAAGCAGCACGAGGTGCATGATCACATCGGATCACAGCGGAGTATAGTCCAACCTCAATCTCAACGATGGTTCAGTGAGCATTAATAGTAACTCAAATCATCACCTGTCATGAGTTGAATGGGTTTACGTCTGCTTTGCACCTGGATTTAATTATCGTTGTCCCTTGCATGCAAGGACGTTTTTTAAAAATATAAATTATGGGGCTAAAATGCATGAAGACAAAACATTTATTTCACGAATTCATAATGAATAGATAGAGAAAAAAAATGTCCACATGCAAGCACAAACTTGATAATAATACAAACATGAATGCCAGTATCTTCCAACATAAATTGGCAGCAGCCTCTATCTTTATGATTGACACCTCGTGACCTTCCAAGTAGAACGATTTCAAATCAAAACGTCAACAAGTAGCACTTAATGCTGTGCTTTCTATCGTCTTTGTTCACGTGCCTGGAGTCGCACGCGTGTGAATGCATGCACAGGTGAACTTAATTGGCGTGTATTCACGTGCGATTGATTGCACGCGTTAACAATACATGCGCGCTGTGCCGCGGGCAGGAGGGCGGGGTGTTCACATTTGGCGCGGGCGGCTACGGACAGCTGGGCCACAACTCCACCAACCACGAGGTCAACCCACGCAAGGTGTTTGAGCTCATGGGCAGCATCGTCACGCAGATTGCGTGCGGCAGGTACGGGGCGGCTGCTGTGCTCTCTCTCCACTCTCGTTATATGATGGCTGCTCGACTCCCTGCTGCTGTTGAGTGTAGAGTAAAAGGGGGATGAGGGAGTGAGAGAGCTGGTGTAAGTTCTGCTTCACACTTGATTTCATTCCTGACGGTGATGGTAAAGGGTTTTTGACATCTTCTGCAGAGCAGATGGTGTCCCTTTGTGGAATTCCCACAGGATCACTGAACTGTTGACCCCATGGAACATGGCCTGATTACCAACTGAGATATCAGCTGTTCAGTAAATTAGTATAACATTAATCACCGAGGGATTAATCAGAGGGCAGTGCTGTATTAAAAGTACACTGTCTACTGCCTCCCAAGTAAAACTAAATTATAGGCTATTAATGAAAATATCAGTCGTATATTAAATGTGTGTGTGCTTGCATTAAAAATATAGACCATCTTTGCTAACTTATGTACATTTATCAATGTCCCAGTAAACATGCAAAGTTGGACCAACATTGGTCCAATGTTCCATGTTTACTGGGGTTGTAGAAGGGCTGGAAAGCGACAAAATATTGTATTCAAGCTTAAGTGGAGTATAGCAGCCCAATATTGCCATCACCCTTAATTACATTTCTACTATTGTTAGTTTTTGAAATAAAATTTTGTAGTGGGTAATTTTCATTTTTTTTATTTGGGTTAAGACACCATCATGGGATGGCATATTTTTTTGTGAATGACTGTCTTTGGCCTTTTACCATACATTTATGAGACATTGACACAGCTGTCCGCAGGAACGAAAGGACAGCTGCTGGAATCACGCATTCAGTGCTGCACAGGCTACATTGCCGCATTGTTTTTTTGTTGTCGTCGTCGTCGTCTGACTTGTGTGACACACGAGAGAGGCAACGATAACACCCGGCAAAGTGACGTAACGAGCTGGGCACTGTGCTGGCAGGCAGCACACGCTGGCGTTCGTGCCATCCTCGGGGAGGATCTACTCCTTCGGCCTGGGAGGGAATGGTCAGCTGGGAACAGGCTCCACCAGCAATCGCAAGAGCCCGTTCACGGTGCAGGGCGCCTGGATGCCACACAACGGGCCGTGCCCCTCCAACGTTGGTATGGGCTCGCAGGGCACGCACAAGTCCGCATTTCACTTCAACCCAGAGCTTCCGGTTTTGTGTGCTGAACTCTCAAACTCGGGGCCAGATCCCTTTTCAGCTTGTCAGGATTGTTTCAAAGTGAGAATTGCTTAGCGGTTTCTATCGACAGGATCTGTAAGGGTAGCATGTGCCCTGTGCGTAAAAACACTTTAAGGGGATAAGTGATGTGTTTTTATTATTCAATTGAAAAAGGATAAGCATGCCATTACCACCAATGTCTTGTTCATCTGTTTGTATTTGTTCAGTGGCTGCTGTAGAGGTGAGTATGAACTCGCAGTCCAGAGTCTGAGTTTATATCTTGGAAAGGGTCGATTTTTTTTACCTAAAGCAAATAGTCAGTTTATTTCCACGCACCCATATTGATCTAATGAATTGCCGTTATTCCAGGTCACGACTATGTTCAACAACGAGTTACATTTCTAACACTGCAGTCAGTAACGACCTCGAGTAGCTGCACAGATGACAATGAGCCCTTTATGTGCAACAAGTACAAATCATAGAGCATCACTTTATACAAATGACATCCGTTGCATGTATTGTATGTGAGATTCAACATCAATATTAATTGATGAATTGATGCATTCTTTCACCCATTTACAGCAGTGAGGTTAATTTCAGTTCTTCTTGTGGGGAAAAGTGTGGGTATGTGTAATCCAAATAACATATCTGATCAGCATGGAAGATTAGGCTGACTCTCCCTGGGGATTGGGATACCACGTGTCCTGCGATGACATGACATGTATGTGCGGGATGCTGCTATGGGCACTTCATTGCTCTGCGAAAATTTTATTTTGTCTTATTTCAATTCTTAACGGCAAACATTTTTTGGACCAAAGCATACCGTTATGAATGTTTGAATTTAATAAGTTTTCATCTCCCGTGAAGTCTTGTATTAGAAGGTACTGAAACAGCAGGAGGATAATTGGCTTGTTTACCATGTTTTATTTGTTGCTTTTCAAACGAGCATTCATTATACCTTCTGCCCAGATGTCTGCCAGCTTGTTGGCATGTCATGAAATCTTTATTGTCTTCTTCTTGAGGAGTAAAAGCTCTCATCGGGAGCATTCCACATCTTTGAAAGACTCGCGTATTTTTGTTTTCAGAAAAAGAAGAGTGCTGCATTGTAAAGAGAATATTTGCCGGAGGAGATCAAAGTTTCGCGCATTACTTTCCTCCAGAGGTAACGGTAGAGCTTGTTCATGTAAATTTCAGTTCCTGAAGGGGAAACGTACAAAAGGCGGTGAGAGAGTGACATAAGACGGTGTAAACATTTGCTTCATAACGAAAAACTTCATCAAAACAACAGTATTACCAATGTATTGTATTACAACTTCAACCATCATGGTTTCAGAGGCTGTTACAATGCACGGAAAGGAGAACGAAATGGAGAATGGAACGATTGAACGTTCTGCAATAACTTAAATTCAATAAACGGAAGCGTAAATCAAACACCATCCGACAAAATGGTTGGAATAAAAAACTAAATGGCGCATAAATGTCAACGTCCTTTTGCTCTATAAGGCTCTTTGGAATGTTCCCAAAATCAATTTGTGAAAGTTCCATTAAATAATTGGTTAATATAGTTCCTGTGCTTAGAATTATGATTTGTTTTATTTCGTGTTTGACATCAGAAAATATCAGTTCTCTTTGGAATGAACTTGGCACGTGCCCCTGTGTGGACCACTTTTGGGCCTTGTGTAAGCTAAGAACAAGGAAATAATTTGGGTTGTAGGTGATTAATTATTTGTGTACACCAGTGTATATATTGGTGTACACAAATGTACACATTGGTGTAGCTATATTGGTGTATACAAGTATATGTATATGTAATGGAGTTTGTGAGTGTGTGTGTATATACTTGCGAGTTTGTGTCTGTTGGTGTGTATGCGTTTTGTGGTATGAAGCTAATGTGGAGTGGTGTGAGAAGCTATAGAATCTCAAGTAGTGTGGATTTACAGCTATTTCGGTGAACACAATTGATTAACATTCAAACGCTGTAACGCTTTGTTTTGCATTGGATTGCATTGAGGGGAATTGCAACCAGGCTCACTAAATCAACATGGCACGCACACGCCTTTCATGTTACAAGAGATTTCAGTGGGGCATACGCCATTGCTTGTGTTTTAGCTTTACACTTTTGTTTGTTCATCCAGGGAGGAAGCATTAAGTTTCATCTTTTAAAGGGAGGGTCTTGTATCAGTTTTTTTGTTGTTTGGATTTTCAGCCAAGTTGCGTCCCACCGATTTGTTATGCGACACCACAGTCGCATTTGGGCGGCGTTTCACTTTTTTTTCCAAACCTCGGATACAAAACGTATTATTTCGAGAATCTGGCTAAACACGCGAGCTTATTCAGCTCCCCCGGTGGTACGCTGCTGGTGTTGTGTGCAGGACTCTGTGGAGCCAGATGACTTCCGGCTGGCGGAGCCCCATATGCAGGTGTGTGTGCTGTCTGGCCCTCTGCTGGAGAAGTGGGCCTCTCTGCCCAGCGGACGGCTGCCGTCCGACGTTGTCAAGTAAGGCCCTCTCGCGCAGTGTACGTGGAGCTGCTTGGGTTCAAATGAAATGTTTTACACAATTATTAAAATGTACATTTGTGTTAAAGTCTGTAAGAAGTTGTTTTGTGTGAGAGACAGAAAGAGAAACACGTCAACACTCTGAATTTTTATTTTTTCTTTTACACTGGTGAACTCCATTCACACGAATTGTAATTTATTTTTATGACTAATTAGCATGTGCCAATTGCAGAGCATATTGTGTGTGGGTTTCATATATCCGTACGTGATGTGGTGTGTAGATGAATTAATGTGGCCATGTCATCTGCAACTACAAAATCAGCAAATTCGTTTTAATCTATGTTCTACCTCTTATATATTCAAAGCAGTGTCCAAATGGCTCTCTAAGGATGAGAGGGTGGCTGTACGCCTTTTAGCGTCCTCTGGTCTAACACCGTTTGAGACGAGGCTCAAAATAAAGCTGTCTCTGGTGTGGACCAATCAGTTTCAAAGACAATGCATGTATTATTATCAAAGTGTTTTTTTTTGCATTCTGGCCACAAGTATTGTGGTTAATGCAGACATGATTCCTTATAAAAGGTTTCAGTTTGGTGTTTTAACATCTTAACACCTGTTTTGTTGCCAGATGAAAGGGGAAAACCTATTCTCATACGATAAGAGGGTATTTAATAGTTAATAGATTAGATTTTATGTATTTACCAATTCCTATGTGCAGAATTTTATGGTCTGTGTGCACATAAAGCAGATGTACACTTACATGTGTCTCAAGGTGCCCCTCTTGCCTTTGATTAATTGGTTTCTAGCTTTGTGGATGTCAACTATACATATTTTTCCATGCTTATGCGAGTGTATTGAGCTAAAGTCACGTAGAATGGAAATAATAAAATAATAAAAATAAAACATATTTTATAATGTTTATTTTTATTATTTCCAATCTACGTGACTTTACCGAAAGAACCAAGATGATGAATCCCTGCAGTCACGAAAGCTTTAAATCGAAATGTATTGAGGTAATGGACGAGTTGATCGTGGGTAACAAATGACAAGACACTTTTTAAAATTCCATACATGGCTGTGTTCAGCACTGGGTTCAGCACTCTGGTGTGAGCGTGAGAATTGCAAGAACGTGAAGGTTTCTTTATTTAGCCCACTCACTTAGCACATTGGTGAGAGTGACACAGTCTAAATTTGTTTTTTCAAAAATATAAAATAATGAAGTGGTCGTTTATATGATGTGAACTAAATATCTTCAAAAATTCTTGCAAGGTTTTTGCCATGTGGTACACAAAACACTGCTCTTGTCTCGTGGTGGTGATATCGCAACAGATTTAAAATGGATTCAAGCAATCTCATTTGAATGTTGACAATGTAGCCACAGTGGCATGTACAGTCAATTGCTTGCATTGCTTCACACCAAACTGAAAGCTTGAATATGACTGTACTGTATGCATTTACAATTCCTTGTGATTTGTCACTTACTTTCCTAAATGTAGAAATGAACACGGTGGAGGCTAAGCTGCAATCGGTCTGTTTTGTCTTGTTCTTTGATGGCCTAAAATATAAGCTGTGCACCAAACAACTGATGAATAGCTGATATATTTTTTGTGACATGACTAACCATCCCATTTGCATTCAATGTCTTGCTTTTTGCAGTGAGATAGACATGATATTCTCCTCTCCAAGCTGTATCAACGGAAGCTTCTTGGCCTATGGGTAATGTACAACAATTTGTTTAAACAGCAACAGTGTGCAAATTAAATATTGGTTGATTGGCTAGCTTAAACATGCCAGGACTCGCTGAGTAAAACATGGCTTGCCAACATATCCAGCTCAGACTCCCTCATTTGTGTTTTGGTGTAGCTCATATGAATGCTCAGTGTTTTAATTTGCCAATGCATAAAATTAAACTGAGCCCACCTTTAATCCCCATGATTCTCTAGAGATAACAAAGCAGCTCCAAAGGGCATTTTCACATATATGTGTGTCAGAAGTCAATTGAATTGGATAGATAATTTGCACAAAAGCTATTAAAGCTAATGCCTGTTTTAAAACTGCATCTTGTATTGAAAATTGAAAGCGTGATAGTTTCTATATATATCGCTATATTTTTTTCTGGCTATTTTCAAAGAATGCTTTCCTTGCATTGCAATTTTGCATGCGAATACATAAATAATGTAATTTATTATTAGGGTAATGTGTTTAACGTCACACCTTGTAATTCATCATTGTGCCTTTTATTTATTTACATTTTTAATATTATTGTTTTACTGTAACAGCACGTAATTAGTATCCTAATATTTACATGCACGCTGTCATCATATCGTCTGTTACATCAGCCTTTGGTTTTCGTCGACATCTCCTGTAAAATGGTAATGTTTGCTTAATCGCCTGTCTCCTGCTTCAAAGGGATGTTGATTGATCGATCTCTGTGTGTTGGATCTTTGTTCTTGTTAAGCCGAGTAGGCGGTGATGTTCTTTTAAATTTGGCTGTGTGCATTTACACTTACGTGCGTGCGTACGTGTGTGTGTGTGTGCTGTGGGGAGCGGTGGCCTAGCGGTTAGCGTGCTGCGTTATGAACTTAGCACCCTGGGTTCGATTCCCGCTCATGGTCGACACCAGTGACGATTATCCTAACCGGTCCTGGGCCTCCCCTAAGTCGACTCGGCCTCAAATTATTACCTGGTGCCATGTGTAAACATCGCCACTGGGGAGACAAAGGTGGTCCGGCGTAGTGTTGGCCACCCATCCCCTCATCTCGTTTGCCGTGCCGGCCTTCATAGGTGCTCGCGAACTGCACTTGCCCCAGCAGCCTGTCAAGGCTATATGAGGGAAATCTTTGTCTTGTGCTGCAGATCAGACGAGCACTACAGAACGAGTGGGAAGGTGTCGGGTTTGGACATGAATGCCATGCGCCGTGCCTTCAACAAGCTCCTGCAGAGCCCATGCACGCAGATTCTGCAGCAGGTGAGAGACGCCTTCTCCCTGGTGCCATCTGCTGCAGTTACATCTTCATTGTCGCCGTAAATTTATTGAAATATGTGTGACAATTAATGAATCCACGTTTTGTTTTTAGTAGTTGAGCACTTTATATCGGGGATGGCCGCCGTGGCTGCACTGGTGAGCACACCAGACTTTTGATCCAGAGGTCGCCGGTTCGTTTTCCCAGGGCGGCAGTTGAAATAATGGGCAACTATTCTTAGATCCATCCTGCCTCTGTCCAACCAGCAGTATGAATGGGTCCACAAGCGGTTAGTTGACTAGCAGGTCACGTGTGGTGGGGTACAGTGTGGGTACTCACACCTCTTCCAAGATGGCTGAGCAGCATGGAAGAGTAGGCCAAACTCTTTCGAGCTGAGGCCCTTTTGCCAGACCGGTATGAAAGGCAAATGGCAGGGCTGCACCTTGATCTTTTCTTATTCTATATTAAGCACCTGGTAAAGTTTTGTCAGCATAGCCGTGTGGAATAAATCCATGTTGGCTTTAAACAGCCATTCATGCAAGTAGGAATATATTTCTCATTATTAAATAGTGGGTATTCTTTGAAATAGAGAATTGCTTCCCTCCATTAACATTTAATGAATTGAAAGTTAATGTGAGTAATATATTACCAACGGAACACAATGCTGGTATTAATATATAAATTCAACATGTGAAATAAGGTAATGAAGCAGCACATATTCATTTGGCTTGCGTATTCATGAAAAGCAGTTAAGAGACCGAGCTTAATTGCAATAGAATGTCATACGTTTGTTACATCTATCTTGGAAGTAGTGATACTCATGCATTTAAAACAACTTGCGCACACACACGAGCTTAGAGACAGCGGTGAATGGGAGTGTAACCTTTGCAGGAAATCTTGAATGTGTTTTTGCGCTGCTTGCAAGTGCTCCTCTGTCGTAGACACCTCTTAACAGGTAGCAGCCGCATGTTGCAAAACACCTGGTAGGAGCTTCATCACCTATGTGCGCATTTCCTTTGAAACCACATCAGGCCTCCCTACTGGATGAATATTTTATTAATCACAGCGTGGGAGTTGGGTAGGATACCCATGGAGAGACGTTGCATGTTCACCACTCAAAACAGATCGTCAGGTTTGCTTGGCAGGTGCTGATGTTTTTGTTTTATTCTTGTGCTTATTAATAGAAATATTCTGCCAAAAACATGTATTTGTTAACAGCTTTGAATCAGATTTGTAGCTCGAAACTATAATCAACATTATACGGTTCTCATCAAAATCAGCAGTACAGAGCCAGTGGAGGAAATTCCACATTTCTATGGCAGTGGTCAGTTTATACATTGACCATCAACAAATGTTGATGCCAGCACAGAGTGGTACGAAGTAATCGTTCTTCCAGATTAAATTAATGTTTATGTGCCAAGAGTCAGGATAGTTGATGGGTTATTGTGCCCTCGGTATAAATTCCCTGACTCTACTATAAGAGGCTCCCTGACTCTTATTATATTGTAAATGGTTGCTTTGGCAGCAAGGCTCAAGTGAGATTCGGACCAAGAAGTGTCTAATTGTGAATAAAGCTCGGCATGTCACTTAGGAACACCTACTGCAAATGGTAATGATGTTTATGTTTATTTATGACTAGCCTATAGCCTGTCCAAGGACGGGTGTATTGCAGTTAATCTGAAATATTAAATCGAAAATAATGACCGGCTCATGATTATTAATGAGGGGGGGAGTGACGTCACCCGCTAATGATTATTAATGACGGAGGGGGCGGGGGGGTGCCTCACGTCGTCATCCGCTCATGATTATTAATGACGGGGGGGGGGGGGGCTCTTGTGGCGTGACGTCACGCGCGGGACACACACACATTCTTGGCTTATATTAGTATAATGATGATAAATGCTTGTTTGGGCAGTGTACTTATAATCATTAACATCAGGATGCGCTACAATGTCACCATTTAGAGAGATTTTCTTATTTACCACATAGCTACTTGCAGACAACGGATCATGAAACCGTATTGGATAATATTCCCACACGAGACGAGAAAACAACCTATGCTATCCTTTCAGAAGAGCACTTAGAACAACGACAGGGATAAACTCCCTCCAGCTGCAAAAAATGAGTGGCTCACTCTTTGTCCACTCGTGGTCTAATGATTCATCCACCCCAGCAATTTGTGGTTCCCGCATGTGATTTGTTTCAAAACAGATTCCTTTGTTAACATCATGGTTAATATAGCAACCATGAGTAGCTGAGTGGATGCAAGGGGTCATGTGAGCCCAATGCATACAATGTTTAGTAATAATAATACTATGTATTTTTACACAGCCAATTTTATGCATGGATACATGAACTTAAGAATTGATCTCGAGGTGTGCCGAGCTGGCACTATTGAGAAGCTCGGTTCGAATCCCTGGTTCAGACATTAATGTTTAAAGGAGTTCTCATGTCCAGCGAGTTGGTAGTCTTGGGCGGTCACCATTAACTGCACGCAAAAATAAAAACGTAATTTTAAATGAGATTTTTCACTTAATTTAGCTAAATTACAGCCCTGAGAATAAACATTGGTTTGACATCTCGTAGAAGAGTGTGTGTGTTAATGCTCCTACTTTATCAAGAACTGAAGGCCACGTTGCAGACTTTTCAGACACCCTCTGAAACTCTCTTCTGTAACACGGTGTTCATGCCCTGCAAGGTTTCTGAATGGATTCTTAATTTAAAGACATGAAACATATTGCACAATGCAAAATAATTTTGGGAAATAAAACCAAATATATTGTTCAATCGTGCAATTTGTGCTGTTATACTCCTAATGTCCACACTCTTGGCCTTTAACTGTGTTACAGTTGGATCAGAGGTGGATGGAAAACAAATAAACTAGAACAGAGGATTGTGTGTTTACTCTCCAGGTGTATATGGGAGACACTGAGCATTTCATAGACGGAAAGGATGAACAACTCAAAAGTTTCGAAAAGAACATGGCAACAGTGTTAGAAGTAATCAGAAAAAGAAAACTGATTGGTTGGAGACATGTGCAGGATGGAGGAGAGCAGATGAGCAGAGGTCAGCGACCAAGGGAAGGCATATAAAGCCAGATGGTGCTGATGATACTGTAAGTGAACTGTTCTTCAAGTGTCAGCCCTAGAAGATTTAATGCAACAACTGTAGAATCTAGCGGAAGGAAGGAAAATGTGATGGTAAGGTGTGGTGACAGCAGCGCCGTTTACCGCCATGACCCCTGGCATAGTATGGAGAAGCGCAAATATTTAATGCGTATGAATGTTTTTTTTGTACTGTCATTGGAGACTGGGCTGAATCTGTGAAGATCTCGACATAATAAAACCGTGATTTGACATCTGGCAGCCTTTGGGCCTTAAATCCAGAATCTCAGCGGTGCTTGCTCACCGTCTAACTCGGGAATTGGCCTCCTGAGCCACTCGGCAATTCGAGCAAAGGTTGATTCTCTTTGATGTAACATGGAGCAATGCTAATGCCTGCAGATGGCAGCCAGCCTGGAGAAGAACCTGATCCCCCAGCTGAGCACGGCCCCTCCGGACGTGGAGGCCATGCGGCTCTACCTGGTGCTGCCCGAGTTCCCGCTGATGCATGACGAGCGTAACTTCTCCACGCTCGCCATCTCCTTCGCCATGGCCATTACCAAGCTGGGCCCCACGCCCGCCAAGGTGCTCGGTGAGTCTGCCTCGCCTCACCTCGCCGGCCTTGCCTGCCCTTCCACCTGGATGGGGGGGGGGGCCCTCTCCATAAAACGTGTAGGGTCTGTGGGGATTTTAAATTTCGATTTAAAGCTTTCGTGACTGCAGGAATTCATCTTCTTGGTTCTTTCGGTAAAGTCACGTAGAAGGGAAGTAATAAAATAATAAAAATAAAACATAATAATATAATTCTCACGACGTTTCGGCCACAACGCAAGCAGCCGTCCTCAAGAACAGGTCTGTCGATAAGACAGAGTCTAAATGACACGTCTTAGGCTTGGAGTGTCTATTTAAGCTGTGAGGGAGGAGGAAGAGAGCCTTGACAAAAGAATTTGCATTTGAAGAGGAATTTAGCATATTTATGGGAAATGCAGGAATGCGAATAGTGCTAATTGTGAAATGCGTGGGGATTATTTTACTGTACTTGAACATGCTGGTTCATGTTGGTTAGTAAATGCGGGGAGTATATGCACGAAAGCATAGACGTACAGTACGACTATGTATATGATTCAAGAGCCGAATGGCTCACAGGGCTATACCAAATAAATGAAACTGAAACTGATATTATCTGCACTGCCCATAATGTAGCGTTTGACTAAAGTACTTGTAATGCAGCCGATCTCGTAAAATCTCGGAAGCTAAGCAAAGTTGGGCCTACATATGTCTTGGATGGGTGACCACATTGCCTAACAATTGTTTCGGGTGTGATGTATAGTGATGAGCCTCTTAAACCATGAGCAAGTCTTGCATTGCTTTGGATATTCTGCTTTGTGGTTTCACATAGCCATGAAGCCCATATTTCATCAGATGTCAGCAGTCCCGGGCCTATGTGCATTGCCACCTTATCCTCCTGTCCTTCAATGTTGTGGGATATTACATGAATGTGTGTGATTTTATTGCTCCTCATTGTGTTTGGTCATTTGCTTTAAGCATGCTTTGTGGGCTCCTGTTAATTTTAATATAATCCGACATCCATTATTTTCAATTTGACTGAGATAGTACACATTTAAATATGACCAAATTCTGCAAAGTAGTGCTCATTATTTGCAATTTCAAGGTAATAACCAGCTTAAAAGCACCACTATGCCACAGTCACTAGACAATCAAAGAAAACAGTATAGCTATTATTGTTAGAAACAATTATCTACAGCACGTCTGGCATAACGGCGCTGCTATTTAAATTCCTACAAGCACCGCCAATCGTGACATGGATATCGGATAGTAGCGGCCGGTAAGACCCTCACGAACGCGAGGGCAGGACTCGCTCATGTGTCTGGATATCTGTGAAAGAGAACTCTGTAGCTCATGGGATTCCTCCAGAATAAATAAACATTCCGATTCCGATTGTGTCTGCGTGCGCTGCCGATGCAGAGAACTGGTGGAGCATGCTGACGCCACCCTTCTTCCTCAAGCTGGTGGAGCTCTACAAGGCCGTGGTGGTGTTCCTCCTCAAGCTGCACAAGATGGGCGTTCCTCCCGCCGAGGAGCCAATCTTCCAGGCCTCGCTGCGCTCCGCCCTCGTCGTTCTGCAGATCCTGCACCGGGTGAGGAACGCCTGCCCTGTGGGCAGGGCGAGAGAGGCCGGGGCGGCCATTCTTTGGCAGTTGGTGTCAGCTGAAGCAGCCTTTCTCCATTTCCGAGTTCGCTGACCGACAAATGAACCTTATGGCGGGACCCTGGGGTCTCATAAGCCTCCGGCTATCGCATAAACTGCGTTGCGACATCATTTTATGTCTGAAGGTGAATGATACAGCAATCTATTTCTCTCGACGAGCTCTAGACAGTGCGCTAATCAAAGTTTTAAAGTTTTGTTTCTGTTGCGCATTCGTCCTCGCTGTGCTTGGATGACATGACAACAGAATTATCCGCACCAGGTGGGTCGCGGCGTTTATGTGCGTGGTGGGACGGAGTTGCCAAAAATAAATTAATTAATTGCGATTTTGACTTCGGTTTATTCGGGACCCCGGGGTCCCGCCGTAAGGTTCAAATGCTCAAAGCAGCTTTAGCGAAACGTCGTCGTATATATGTTGATGTTTAATTCAGTCATGAGAAGTCTTTTAGCCACTGGTGAGGAGGAGCTTCATTGGTCAGAATTTCCTCAACACATCGGAACTTATAATGGTATATTTATGAACGTCACAATCTTGTTTGGGGGGTGGAGGGTCAATTACAATAAATTTGGCTTAAAACTAGAACTTGGCCTTACTGTAACACAAATATGGATCCTAGTATTTCGCTATGAAAAGCTACGATTTCAGTTTGCATTTATCTAGTACTTTACGAAGCATCTATATTTTCTGTTGCGAGGTTACCCGACATGCAATTTAAGCATCCTTAAATACAAAACAAGAACTCCGGGGAGGGAATGCACCCAGAGTACATGCATTGAGGGGATGGAGTGATGAAATCCGCTCATGTGCAGATGCAATGTGAATGATTAGATCCGAGGAGTATGAGAGATGACGATGGCTTGGGGAGACCTTCATCCAGCATGATTTACTACATCCTCGTTGTCGAGTATTTGCACATTATGAAACGTCTTTGCAGCAATCCAGTTACCTCACTTATACGTACAGTGCCTCGACGACACCCTTTCTTCCTCAAGCTGGCGGTCGCTCTACAAGGCTCTGCCATATGGGAGTGACTTTAATATCTGAAAGTGGTGTACTCTTGAGTTTCAATTTATGAGTTGGTTATGAAAAAGATTATCTTTATGCAATATTATATTGGTATAAATAGCATCACAGTTTACGTCAGGCTTGCAAGAGAATACAATTAAGAATGTCATCATGTGGCTTGTTTAAACCATGTGACTTAATAATTACACCGATTACTCGAGCTAATAACCTCCGTCTATTTAACATGGTAAGAGGACGTAGGCGCAAATGCATGGCGTTCACTGTGGCAGGCCAACACACGGACGTCGGTGATCCAATACGACAAGTTTTACATCGGGGAGATCTGCGATCTGGTGGACATCAGGAGAGACTACATCGCGTGGATACAGCAGCAGGCCTACAGAGTGGTAAGGTTGCTACAGGACACCGCTGCTCGCATTCCTCACAGCGGGGGGCCCATTTCACTCCATTGTTTCAGCTGTTACGTTCAACTTGACCCTCATGGTGTACTTGATCGGCATGTGGTCATTCACCTGTCACTGCAGTTCTATGAATTTGTCGGTCACAATTTCATGGTATAATTAACTTTGTCTCGTGTGTATAACTCCATTTTGTATTGTTTCTCATTAGTTTTATTTTGCTTGTACAGTTTTTGTTCATCACGTTATCCTCAAGTAGCATTCTATATAGTTTTAATGAATCCTAAATAATCGCTTCTTGTTCACATGAAACAATGCTTGCCTCATGAACGAAAGCATCAGTTTTAATTGATGCATTGCTACATGCCTAGTACTTGACCTAATACATCTGTTCACTGATTACCATAACTGCTTATGACAAATATTGACTTAATCTACGAATTGTCAGCATCATCATCAACAACTAATGATACTCAAAAGTATGCAATTCAGGTTAATAAAATACATTCTAAGAAATTGGAAAAGGATGAGGGTACATGAAAGAAAGTAGGATGGCATTCACGTGGGACAAGGAACAGTGCGTGAAATGGAGGTGGCACTCGAGTGCAGAGCTCCGCAGCGAGCGGGTGGTGGCAGCAGTATCAGTGCGGCTCACAGCAGCAGGCAGCGGGAATGAAGCGGCAGGCAAGTGCAGGGCACGGTGCAGAGAAGGTGGATACAGGAGGACAATGCCGGGCTGCAGCTCTGCACGGGCAGCAGGTGAATTCAGATGGTAGCAGGTAGAAGTTGAGCCAAAGCCCGCAGTAATAGTTGCACTCGTGGGGAAAAAAAACCCGTTATGCATTCTTAGGCTATTTGGTTTTACTCAGTTGGAGTATTCTTCTTTATTTTTCTGTGGCTGTTGAGAATATAATTTTTTTCATCGCGATGGAAATTTTCCAATATTTAACTCGCGTATGTAAGTTTGTAATATAACCTTAGCAGCTCTTGAAAGTATTTATTGGCCAACATAATAGGTTTTATTTTCCTCCACATACAGTACTGTGTTTTTTGACTCGTCAAATCCTTTGTACGCTTTCTCTTTCGAGCTTCAGATAACCGATTTGTTGTCTTGGGAAGCCGGCTTGGTGCGTGGCACGCCGAGGTTAAAACTCCACGCTGGATTAACCCATCAGCCTAGCCCAGGAATTCCGAGATTTCTGCAAAAAAACATCTCTCAACTGGTGCAATGCAAAAAAAAGTCTTTAAATAATGTAAACCACATTGCAAACAATGGATTTGTATAAGAAGACGTCAGTCTGCACAATGATTGACCGCTTCCTTATGCCATGTCCTTCAATTTCTTAATAAAAAAAATGTGATGTAGGTTGTTGGTTCTGAAGGACTTCAGCTCACTTGAAATGTTTTGCATAAGTGTATATCCATTCATGTTGCTATCGACAACTGGTTAAAATGTCCAATTAAAATATCTGGTGCTAGCTATTATTTAGGATCAACACTGACATTCTTCTCAACTAAACCATGTAATTATTGTGTCAATTTTAATTGAGATCAAGAGAATTTTTTTATTAATCTAAAAACATCACTTTGCTGGCTATACCTCGGATCAACAATCTTGTTTTCGATTTAAAGCTTTCGTGACTGCAGGGATTCATCTTCTTGTTTCTTTCGGTAAAGTCACGTAGAAGGGAAGTAATAAAATAATAAAAATAAAACATAATAAAACAATTCTCACGACGTTTCGGCTACAACGCAAGCAGCCGTCTTCAGGTGAAGAATGAGACACTACCAAACTAGGAGCTTATATATAAGCTGCATTGGGGGTTGAAGAGCGCCTTAACAAAAAGAATGTGCATGTGAAGAGGGATTTAGCATATTCATGGAAAATGCGTAGGCGTTGGGCGGGGGGGTGTCAAAGTCATATTATGCCCATGCATTATGCAGGATCAGCAGCAACCAAGGGGGGTGCAGGGATTAGCAGTAACAAAGGAAAGGAATGTTAATGATATGTAGCTGTAGTTACTCAACAACACGTAGAAAACTAAAGTATAAACTACATAAAAAACTAAAGTATAAACTGCATCGCACCATCAGTATACTTACTATACTCTATAATAAGCTGAGTTACTAACAGCAAGTAATACATTACAATTTTACCTCGTAAAAATTCTATAATATGCTTCCATCTAAACCTTATTCTCTTACATCACACGAGCATATACCGTACTATATACTGCCATAGATAAACCCAACATTAAATTATATACTGTATTGCTGTAAACCAACCTATATCTTATACATTTAATATCACACTATGTATTATTCTACACACCCTAATGTGTATCGAAATGGTTTATTACGTCCTTCCAATGATTGCTGAGCCAGAATCCATCTTCTCGGTTAAAGTTGTCTCTGTGTTTGTATATGTGGATCGCCTCATGAACGAATCTCTCATGATAGCCAGATGGCTTGCAGAGAACCTCTGTCTTGGAGAAGTCAATATCATGTGAGCCCACTGAGTTGTAACAGTGATCTGCCACGGCTGAGGTGTTAGTCCTACCGTGTTTCAGGTCAGCTTTATGTTCACGGATGCGGTCCGAGACATGTCGTTTGGTTTCCCCAATGTAACTGCTACCACAGAGGCAACTTAGTTTGTAGACGCCAGGGTACTGTATGTCTGGAACCACATCTTTTACAGACGGTACCAGATCACGGATTTTATGTACTGTGTTGAATCGGACCTGGATCTTGTGTTTAATCAGGATTTTGGAGATCTTTTTTGTGACCCCAGCAATGTAGGGTAAGGTGATGGTCTTGAAAGGCTCCTCAACAGGATCCTTCTTGATGGTTGGAGTGATGGCTTTGCGGATTGTATAGTCGGAGTAACCATTTGCCTTAAGAGCTTGGCGTACGTGTTTGAGTTCACTGGAAATGTGTTCATGGTCGGAGATGCATTGGGCTCTATGATATAGAGTCTTGATGAGGGAATTCTTCTGAGATGGATGGTGGTGGGAATCCGGTTTTAGATAAGCATCCGTGTGGGTGGCTTTCCTGTAGACAGAGTGGCTCATTGAACCATCAGGTCTCCTTTTGATTAGGACATCCAAAAAGGGTAGCTTGCCATCATTTTCGACTTCCATGGTGAATCTGATGGCTGGGTGTATGGAATTGATGTGGTCGAGAAATTGGTCTAGAGCAGGCCGGCCATGTGGCCAGATGACAAAAGTGTCGTCTACGTACCTCTTCCATAAGGTCGGGTGTAGAGTGGCAGTCTGGATGGCGTCCGTCTCAAATTTCTCCATGAAGATGTTGGCTACAACCGGAGATAGGGGGGAGCCCATTGGGGTGCCCTCAATTTGCTTGTAGAAGGTTCCATTCCAGGTGAAGTATGTATTGGTTAAGCAGTGTCTCACCAGGGGGGGTACCCCAGCATTCAGTCCTTGATGAACCAAGTCTTCAATGATTGCGATGGTGTCAGGCACAGGTACCTTGGTGAACAAGGAAACCACATCAAAACTGACAAGCAGGTCGTCTGGGGACAGGGCAATCCCCTTGATTGTCGATACCAGGTCAGTAGAGTTTAGTACTGCAGAGGTGGTTTTTCCAGTGAAAGGCCGTAGGATTTCGGACAAAAAACGAGCCAGTTTGTAAGTGGGGGAGTTGATAGTAGAGACAATGGGACGAAGAGGTGTATCTTCTTTATGTATCTTTGGCAAGCCGTACAATCTTGGTGGTCTGGCTGCAGAAGGTTCTCGTTGAAACCTTCTGCAGCCAGACCACCAAGATTGTACGGCTTGCCAAAGATACATAAAGAAGATACACCTCTTCGTCCCATTGTCTCTACTATCAACTCCCCCACTTACAAACTGGCTCGTTTTTTGTCCGAAATCCTACGGCCTTTCACTGGAAAAACCACCTCTGCAGTACTAAACTCTACTGACCTGGTATCGACAATCAAGGGGATTGCCCTGTCCCCAGACGACCTGCTTGTCAGTTTTGATGTGGTTTCCTTGTTCACCAAGGTACCTGTGCCTGACACCATCGCAATCATTGAAGACTTGGTTCATCAAGGACTGAATGCTGGGGTACCCCCCCTGGTGAGACACTGCTTAACCAATACATACTTCACCTGGAATGGAACCTTCTACAAGCAAATTGAGGGCACCCCAATGGGCTCCCCCCTATCTCCGGTTGTAGCCAACATCTTCATGGAGAAATTTGAGACGGACGCCATCCAGACTGCCACTCTACACCCGACCTTATGGAAGAGGTACGTAGACGACACTTTTGTCATCTGGCCACATGGCCGGCCTGCTCTAGACCAATTTCTCGACCACATCAATTCCATACACCCAGCCATCAGATTCACCATGGAAGTCGAAAATGATGGCAAGCTACCCTTTTTGGATGTCCTAATCAAAAGGAGACCTGATGGTTCAATGAGCCACTCTGTCTACAGGAAAGCCACCCACACGGATGCTTATCTAAAACCGGATTCCCACCACCATCCATCTCAGAAGAATTCCCTCATCAAGACTCTATATCATAGAGCCCAATGCATCTCCGACCATGAACACATTTCCAGTGAACTCAAACACGTACGCCAAGCTCTTAAGGCAAATGGTTACTCCGACTATACAATCCGCAAAGCCATCACTCCAACCATCAAGAAGGATCCTGTTGAGGAGCCTTTCAAGACCATCACCTTACCCTACATTGCTGGGGTCACAAAAAAGATCTCCAAAATCCTGATTAAACACAAGATCCAGGTCCGATTCAACACAGTACATAAAATCCGTGATCTGGTACCGTCTGTAAAAGATGTGGTTCCAGACATACAGTACCCTGGCGTCTACAAACTAAGTTGCCTCTGTGGTAGCAGTTACATTGGGGAAACCAAACGACATGTCTCGGACCGCATCCGTGAACATAAAGCTGACCTGAAACACGGTAGGACTAACACCTCAGCCGTGGCAGATCACTGTTACAACTCAGTGGGCTCACATGATATTGACTTCTCCAAGACAGAGGTTCTCTGCAAGCCATCTGGCTATCATGAGAGATTCGTTCATGAGGCGATCCACATATACAAACACAGAGACAACTTTAACCGAGAAGATGGATTCTGGCTCAGCAATCATTGGAAGGACGTAATAAACCATTTCGATACACATTAGGGTGTGTAGAATAATACATAGTGTGATATTAAATGTATAAGATATAGGTTGGTTTACAGCAATACAGTATATAATTTAATGTTGGGTTTATCTATGGCAGTATATAGTACGGTATATGCTCGTGTGATGTAAGAGAATAAGGTTTAGATGGAAGCATATTATAGAATTTTTACGAGGTAAAATTGTAATGTATTACTTGCTGTTAGTAACTCAGCTTATTATAGAGTATAGTAAGTATACTGATGGTGCGATGCAGTTTATACTTTAGTTTTTTATGTAGTTTATACTTTAGTTTTCTACGTGTTGTTGAGTAACTACAGCTACATATCATTAACATTCCTTTCCTTTGTTACTGCTAATCCCTGCACCCCCCTTGGTTGCTGCTGATCCTGCATAATGCATGGGCATAATATGACTTTGACACCCCCCCGCCCAACGCCTACGCATTTTCCATGAATATGCTAAATCCCTCTTCACATGCACATTCTTTTTGTTAAGGCGCTCTTCAACCCCCAATGCAGCTTATATATAAGCTCCTAGTTTGGTAGTGTCTCATTCTTCACCTGAAGACGGCTGCTTGCGTTGTAGCCGAAACGTCGTGAGAATTGTTTTATTATGTTTTATTTTTATTATTTTATTACTTCCCTTCTACGTGACTTTACCGAAAGAAACAAGAAGATGAATCTTGTTTTCACCATGGCTCTGATTGGTTTTTCGATTCTTGACTGCTCCTGCTGGTGACTGCTGTTGAATGTTAACCACTAAACAGCTGCATGTGAATCGGGTTGCTGAAATGCCGCTTGCAGTTATCTATTAAACGTGCTGTCTACCTAATTGTTGATCTAACTGTTTGTTTCCCCTTCCACGTTGACGGTGTCTTGCTTGCCCTGTTTCTAACAGGATGTTAACTCTGCGATGGCAGAGGTAAGTCCTTCCTAGTTTAACGTCCTGGTTGTTGCTCACCGGTTCAGCAAAACCCCCTTATCTTATGAGCCCAATATTAAATAGCTCCGAACCCATTGGTACATATTAAGGCCCTTACCGCTTTTTCTTGTTTAAATAATAGGTGTGGTCCAATGGTGTTCCAGACTATGATTTCCCAGGTGTAATGCTGTTAATTGACTGCTGTAGCTGAGGTAAGCAATGGCCAGGCCTTTCTGTAAGGCCTTACGAACATGAGTGGAACACGAGATGACATCCTAATGCTCATTACCTAGGAGGTTGCTCACGCACGTACAGTCTTGTGAATGCCTGCCGATTAATGTGGCTGGAAGCATGTTGGCTCATGAACGTATTGGTTGATTAGATTTTTTTATTCTGTTCATTTAAAAAGCATTGAAGTTTATGTTTTTCTTCTGATGGGGGAAATGGTCAAGGGATGAATTGTAGTTTGCACCCAAGGAATAACCAGCACTTATTTGGTCTCGGCAGCAGTGAAACCATGAAAAGTGAGTTGGTAACTGCAAGAATTAAATCACTTTTCTTGTTTTATGACCTTTGACTTGGATTGTGCAAACATACCAATTGGATATCATGTTTTCTTCTCCCAGATAATGGACAATTTATGCTTCTTAGGATATGTGCTGGTTTACAATGGCCACACAATAATAATAAAATAGATCATGGTTTGCTACTCAATAATTTTAACAACTCTACTTGTAGCTTGGGCATACTGCCATCCGTTGCCTCTGTCCTATGCCCTCCTATCTGTACGTTAGCTTCAGCTACATCGTTCTTAAATGCTGCACTCTTAATTTGCAAGAAGTGGCTGGCTCGCCTACTCGTCTTTTTGACTTTTCGCTGACTTTTATAAACCAATCCTCGCACAAGCTCTGCTTAGAGTAGAACATGGTGCACGAAATGTGTGGTAAGGATTATTGAGACAGAAGCCATGTGGGTAATTAAATTCTGCAATCCATCCACATTGGATTCCCCTGCCTGAATCCAACACAATAATTAGTTTGTCGTATTTTTAGTCATCATCATCATCAGCCATGGTCATTCCACTGATGGATGTCGGCCCCCACACTATGCAAATCTCACACGGTCCCATGATGCCACAATCCTATCTCCCCTACTGCACATGAGCTTCTTGCTATGCTCATTGCTACATCTCTGTGGTGGTCCTCTTTGGCCATGTTATTCTGATCCATTCGCAATAGCTCTGTGCTTTTTTGTACGTGATTTATCCTCGCGTGCATTTCATCATTTGTTTCACTCGGGATTCTAAGCTATTGTTTATAATCAGTCTAAATTCCAGCTTCCATACGAGAATTTTCACGTCGACTCTTTCTTTTGCCTGTAATTAAGTTTCTCCCCTTGTTGGTGATGGTCAAGTGTAACTTGTATCACATCACACTTCCCTGACTGGGATTTTCCTGAGAGAATTAATGTCTTAATTTCGACTCCCCATCCATTTTGTAGACTTTTTTTTAAAGGGCATATCATCTTAATGTCTTTGCTGGCTGCAAACTCTTCTCTCTCATTGCTCAGTCCTATGCCATGTGCACTCACCAGTCGTCCTCTTATCTCTGTGCCTTATACAGACCTTTGTGTTGAAGTGTCCCGTTATGATGGTGTATTTTTGGCCTCATTTGAAACTTGGTTATAGTTTTCATGCAATTGGTCTTCTGCTATTTCCTCATTGTTTTCAGTTGGGTGCATATATACTTTTCGCTTGTAGTGTTTCAAGAGCCCTTCACGTTAGCTGGACAGCTGCATTTGAAGCACTCTTTCATCTCAAAAACTCTACTCTTTTTAAATATCTCATCTGTAAATGTATTCAGAAGTTTGTAAAAAAAAGAAATGATCACTTTCCAGCTAAAGCTAAAGAGTTCATGCAGTACCTCTGTCTCTATGTTCGTCCATTTCTTTTTCCTCATTAAGGCGGGGAGAGCATGATGGCAACTATCGAAAAGATGATTCAATATGAACACGGCCAACATGTTTATTTGTGTTGCGATGCGGGACTTACCCGATTTGAAAAGCGGATCAAATAATCAAAGGTGGGGGGGGGGGGGTCTAAAATTTTGAAAAAAACAGCACGAAAAGATGTAACCTCAGTACTGTGACTGCTGGCCAAGGAATGCCCTCCTGGGTTGACCACTATACAAGCCATGAAACATACTGCTTCCTGCACGCCTGATGCGTGTGCTCCCGTTCTCATTGCGAATGTATTACTTCCAAGGACAAAGCATCTTGGAAAGTGTTATAGTAATCCTTATGTATGCATGACGTTTTGTACTTGTTTACTTGGTCATTTCAAATGTTTATTGCTTTTTTTGTAAAGGCCAGTTGGTAAGCAATGTTAATCAAACTCCCTAGGAGAGGCAAGAGACAGTCACTGAATGAATCCGGAGGCATCTTGGGCTCAGGGTGATCCCTGCCAGCGTGATACCCTTCTTATACTCAAGTGATTTTCAAAAAGGGATACTGTTCTTTGATGAGGATGACGTGTGTAGTTCTGCGGCAAAAGGAATCGAAGCCAAAGACAAAAGCAGATGTTTATATATGACGGGGTTATAGGTTAGCATCTCTCCAGCTGCTTGTGCCCACCAGGTTAGGTTCGATGTGTTTTGTCTGCTGCATAGCACATTGAATTAGACCATGCCTGGCTGTCGCACTGACCACTGCACAGCATTGCTGTAGTATCACGAGTCCATAAAATACCAACCTATGAATGATCTGCATTGCCCTGATGTGAAGCTCCTGGTCTGCTCCAGAGCATGCTGTACCTGGCTGTGTGACTGCAGTCGTGCTGACCAGCTCGCTGAATGGCATTGCTGTAGCACACACGTGTTCATCTCAAGTTCTACAGTGCGTGGCTGTTGAGTTGTGCTGCCCTGCAACTTGTAACGCCCGTGTTGATGTCGGCCCACGTGCAGGAGGTGCCGGTGACGCTGTGCAGCTTCCCGTTTGTGTTCGACGCACAGGCCAAGACCACGCTTCTGCAGACTGATGCCATCCTGCAGATGCAGGTTTGTCCACGCCCTGAGAACTCGCACTGCACACTTTACACGTGTGCTCCACTCCAGCCTGGCTTGCGTGTATGTATGTTGAACCTCTTGTGCACCGTACGTAGCCAACCGTGTTAATTGGAGGTCGTGTACACAGCATGGCGCTACGTGTAAATGTTACCGGCCCTTTTTTCGGTCCACTGCTGGGTGAGGGCTTCCCCACGCTGTGTGGGTCGTCGGAGTTATTTGGCCATGCTGTACTTCCATACGCTGGCCCGTGTGGGCTGGTGAAGGTGGGGAGCATAAAAGTACAGTGCACCTATTGAGGTTTTTTTTTATGCACTGCCCTCTGTTGGCGGTTGCCTGTCTATGCACTATCCAGCCTCAAGCTTACGACATCTGATGAGATCGGGCACATTCTGGGTGATTTGAACGTAGGCACAGGCATGATGCTATATGCCCGGAGTCTTTAGGATTCGTGAGATGCAACCACCATGTTGCGAGGCACTCGTCTGTAAGGTAACGAGGATTAGGAGGCAGCGCAGTGACATAGATTTCACGCCTCTCTGTTTGGGGATGGAGCGGCGGTATCCCTTTGGGCATTTGCCCGGAGATGTGGACTCACATCCATAGAAAAATACGTTCATAAATACCCAAGGATGTAGCCTAATATTTTTTGCAAGGTTCTCCCAAAACAGACTTGAGATTTGGTTATTTGTGTAAATATTTATTTGTTTACTTTATTCTGTATCACTCCGTCGGTATTCACATTGGTAGATGCCATATATATAGAGCACTTGACACTTATTGTGTCCGCACAGTAATTGAGAACGCTCCATGTTCTTGTCTGTGTTTGTGCAGCCATCTGTAAAATGGATATGCACACTTCAGTTATAAATATGGTGACGTTCTTTACCACTCGTTTGATAGCTGTATTGGAGTGGTCAGTAAGGTCATCACAGATATGTGAAGCTTTTAACATGCATGCAGCATATAGCTGTTTCCCGACAGGAGTGAGAGATATATTGGTATTTATGGGGAAATTTAAACCAATCTTGTCACAGTTACTCATGGCAGGTACCTTTTGATTAGTTGCTCACGATCATGATTTCATTCTTCATATGTTTATGATATAAATATTTTAGGAATTGGACATTTATTGAATAAATGGTTTAAGTTTTGTTTTTATAAAGTTCCACAGTTTCTCATGTTTGTCTTGAAGAAACATCAGTTACTTTAACAAATCCTTACTTAAACACGTTAAACAAGTAACTTGCGAATCGGCCTACTGTTTTTGTGGGTCACTGGTTTGTCATTAGGGATACACAATAATGTCGAAGCTCTTTCAGTAGGGGCCCCTGTTCTAGCCTTTCTCATCTACGTCTACCTGTGCCTTAGCTTGTGCACGCTTCTTCACCGGCTCGACTGCGGAATTACCTGCCTCACTTTCCAACCAATCACATTGCAGGGTGGTGTGGCTCCCTTTTACGTTGACGTCTAGCTGTCACAGTCACTGGCCCACTTATTAATATCTTTCAACTTAAACTAATTTTTTTATTTTTACCAGGTATGGCCCACTGAATTATATAGCTCTTTTTCAGAAGTGACCCAGCCATAAATGATAGCTCTATGAAGCAGCTTACCATGTAGAAATTTATAGCAGCCAAATACTCAAAACGCATGTTTCTAAATGTGGAGGGAAAAAAACCAGCGAACCTGGGGAAAAATCCACGCGACCACAGGGAGAACACACAGACTCTAAATATACAGGCATCAAGGCCAGGATCGAGCCCACGACCTCCTGTATACCGAGCGAGGTAGCTGAGATCCCTCCAACGGTGGCGCCTTCCCCCCCCCCCCCCCCCCCTCCGATTGCGCCTGCCTCTCACCAATGCACACCTACGTTGTGATTTTTTTTCTCACTCTCATCTACTCCCCCCCCCCCCACCTCCGTGCCTGCAGGTCGCCGTGGATGAGGCGACACGCCGCAACTTCTCCAGCATGTTCATGCCCATCGACCCCGAGAACCCCTGCCTGGTGCTCATGGTGCGCAGGGACAACATCGTGGGCGACACGCTGGAGATGCTGCGCAAGCAGGCGAAGAACCTTGACTTCAAGAAGCCTCTGAAGGTTAGCGGCACATTCCTTGGGTGACCACTCAGAGCGCGGTCTGTCCGCGTCTTCATCATTATCGTTGTTGTCATCACCATCGTAATGATGTTCACCTTCCTCCCCCCCACCTCCCTCCAGGTGATCTTCTACGGGGAGGATGCCGTGGATGCGGGAGGAGTGAGGAAGGAGTTCTTCCTACTCATCATGAAGGACCTCCTGGACCCAAAGTATGGGCTCTTCAAGTACTATGAGGAGTCGCGACTCATCTGGTTCTCACAGCAGGTGCGCTCGCAACGACGGCACCGGGCAGAAGTGTTTGCCAATTCTCTTCGCATCCAAATCTTGCTATCCCCATTGTGTCAGAGGTCATGCCCTCCTGTCAGGTTATAAAACAACATGCCATTTTTTTACAATACTGTATGGTTAAGGCTTCCTCTAGCTTGGAAAATGTAATCACGTGCTTCTGCTTGCGATCTCATACCCCCACATGTGACGTTTTCCTTTGCATGTCCAGTCTTTTTTTTAGCTCGCTATTTTTTTACACGATTAAAACTCGCATCCTGCGTGGCTTTCTGTTGAGAAATAATCCAGTTGAACGGCCAGCAGAGCAAGGGAAGATCGGTCAGCAGCGACTCCAATAAGCAATGCAGAGCTCGCTGTCTTTGCTGGTTCCTTGGTTCTGCTGTATTTTCATATCCCCCCCCCCCCCCCCCCCGAACAATCATGACCTTCACTTGGATATGGCATCAACTACTGCCGATTTTGGCTGTTTCTAAATTGGCTGCCTTGCCCTGTACTCTCCTCCCATGATGGGTACTGAGGCTGCTACAAGTACTTTCGGGTGTCATTCGCCCATGTGATGCCCATTTCACCAACAAAATGACTATCCATGGCCGAGCCCAGCTCGCTCATTCGTCATTCGCGTCACGGTAGTCGGGATATTCTTCTGTGTTTTCTCATGCGTCTCTCGCCGCTCTTCAGGTCGTCACACGTACGCGCGCACGCATCTGTCAATACTTAATCGCACAACCCGCCGCCTCGTTTGTCCGTCCTCTGTGGTGCAGACGTTTGAGGACAGCAACCTGTTCAACTTAATTGGTCTTATCTGTGGCCTGGCCATCTACAACTCCACCATTGTGGACCTCAACTTTCCACTGGCACTCTACAAAAAGCTGCTCAAGGTGGAGCCCACGCTGGAAGACCTCAAGGAGCTCATGCCCGACGTGGGCAGGTGGGGCTGCCCCAACCCCCCAGGGCACATTGACGTGGCACAATTTGTATCAGGCCGGCATGTGACAGCATCATTCATATCACCTGGCTGGCACATTGGCATGGTAGTATTCACATCACCAGGCTGGCACATTGGAACTAATATTGAGCACATGCATCTTTTATGGTTTCACCATACTTTTTTATTAAAGATAACACGAATAATTTCTTATCAGATCTTTTTTTATACCCAAAATGAATTTGACCAACATCCCAAACATGATCCTCCTTTAAAAGTTTTGAAACGTTAAGACTTTCCAAGGTAAAGGACTTTATGGCATTACATATTTTCAGTTTTACCTAAATGTGTAACTAAGAGCAATTTGCCCCTTAGTTGTAATGAGAGCCTCTGGCAGCCGTGATGTGTGTGGCTGTATAACATGTATGTATGCACGTTGAACTTCTATCACACCGTACCTAGCCACAACCATGCTAATCAGAGGTGCGGGGGAAGGACAACAAAACATACCTTCCACTGGCACTCCACAAGAAGCTGCTTAGGTGTGAGCAACGGCTGATTGCCTTTTGTGTTGTCGTGTGCTTGCTCACAGGAGTCTGCAGCAACTCCTAGACTACCCCGACGATGACGTCGAGGAAACCTTCTGCCTCAACTTCACGGTGAGTGCATCCTCTCCGTCAGCCCCCACACCGATGCGAGGGCTACAGCATTTGAGCATCAAGTCCATCGAGGGGCAGTTGCACCCCGAACTCCAATTGCTGTTAAAGGTGTGCAGGAATTAATAAATAGGTGGCTGGGGGACAACAGGTCGACTTGGACAGTCTCAGAGCGATGAGTCTGGGTTGCCAGTCACCCATGATTTAGGTTATCTTGTTTTGTCTTACTGGAGCATCGATGACTAAGACCATGCTCGGTGAAGATGAAACCGCAACCCTGTGTACTGTATGGTATATGTGTATATCTGATACTGTGAATGAATTAGTGTGGTAGTGTATCTGTATATTATTGTCCAGAAGAACAAATCTAAAGTGTGTATGTCCTATACAATATTTACGTCAATCGACTAACTTTTGAGAGTAACTAAAATGTCATGCTACGTATATTATGTTACATGCAATATAACACATTCTAGTCTTCTCTTCCTTCGTATGGAATTTTTGGGGATTGCAACAGATTACAAACTGATGTCGACATTTGATATTCATTCAGCTGCTTCACGAGTAGCCACGTGGTTTTGTTTCGGATCGCCGTTGAATGATTCAATTGGGGAGTCGGTCACGACATGTTGCGCGGTCTGAGATGTCGCACCACAGTCGCAAACTGGATATCGTTATCTTCTTGGTTCTTTCGGTAAAGTCACGTAGAAGGGAAATAATAAAAATAAAACATAGTTAAATAATTCTCACGACGTTTCGGCCACAACGCAAGCAGCCGTCCTCAGGTGAAGAACAGGTCTGTCGGAAAGACAGCGTCTGAATGGGCACCACTCAGCTTGGCAGCGTATATTTAAGCTGGGTTGGAGGGGGAAGGAGCGCCTTGACAAAGGAATTTGCCTATCAAGAGGAATTTAGCATATTTATTAATTTTCCATTCGTGGAGAAAGTGTCCCCAACATCTTCCATGGAGTCTCCAGGTCCAATTTAAGGAGGACCAGATTTTCCTCGGTAGGTCAGATCCTGGTTAGAGAATTGTGGGATCGCTGACGATGGTTTTCTGTAGCAAGTTGGTGTTTGCCCAGGCTTCCCTCCATCGTGCTTCGGTGGTCTTGTTGTCCTCATGGAGGTTCTTTGCATATTGCCAGAGGTTTTCTGGGTTTGAGCCTGTGCAGTGGTGGCATTGAGATGTTCTTTGTTTATTGGATGGCTTTGATTTCTGATGGCCTGGACTCACTTTGTCTGCTCCAGCACGGAGTATATTCCACTCGGTAACCCCATAGCATATGTTAGCAGGCCGCTTTGAGCACAAACTTTTACACATTCTTGTGCATTTCATTCTATGTTATCACGTAACATGCGAAATAATGTAGCATGCTTTTTTACTATTACATTTTATATATTTTAGCATTTTATATACATTTTACTTTTATATTTTAATTAGCCAATCGAGTCCAGCTAAGTACATATTCTGGGTAGCCGGGGTCCTGTGAGTCAGGGTTTTCCTGGATGTGTCCATCAGGATCTGGCTCAAAACAATTCTCAAGCTGATCTGGAGAAGTACAGAACATTTGAAACCATTTTTTTTTTCAACAGGTAAAAATATATTTAGACAATTCCAGATGTTTTCAAGCAGGAGGTTATTCATTTTTAAGGTACTCGATTGAACATTTTTCTCATTGGCAGTAATTCACGGATGTGTTGCCGACAGGTGGCCTTTGAGAACTTCGGAGCGATGGAAGTAAAGGAACTGGTGCCTGGAGGGTCAGACATGGTGGTGAACAATGCCAACAGGTCTGTACAGTCACTGCAGTGACGTTTGTGCAACGTCTTCAACACGTTTTACTCTGCACCCTGCACATTAACAGCATCGCGTGTTTTCAGTTGTGCTTCTGCGGCCGTCTGGAACGCTTTCCTTCTGATAATTGGAAGCCACTGGAGCTGTGCACTTTTAAATCCTAGATTGAAAACGAATTTCTTTCGAAGTGCTTTTTGTGTTTAGTTTGTTGTCCTTCCCCCGCACCTCTGATTAGCACGCTTGGTTACGTACAGTGCAAAAGAAGTTCAACATACATACAATCTATGGCGGGGTCCATTACCAAATCACTTTGAATTTTCCTGACCTCATGAGATCTCGGAAACCGTGCAGTTGAGTGGCTCGCACTTAGATGGTGGAGACTGATGGGGAATGTCAGGTGTGTCGGTTTGAGCTGCAAAGTGGTTCAGAAGATAGCAGTAGAGCAGTGGATTCTTGAATCAATCGGTGTGAAGCTTTGTTACTCTTTCATGTACTTGCTATCTCTGGTTTCCTCCCATTTATGGAATTGACAAGATTCCAGTGTAGAATTCACCTGGATAGGGCGAATGAAGGGCATTACAATTATTACGACTAAACGTTTATTCTTACGGTGAGCCTCGCCCCCAAGCTTTGTCAGGAACTAATTTCAGGTGCAGACAGCACCAAAATGCAAGAGTGAGAAAAAACATATAAAACGAAATGATTAAAACGCGAAAAGTAGAAACAAAACAGAGTTAAAAGTTATAATGATTGTGCTGCCAAGGGCAAAGACCTGTGCCGTCTCAAATTCTGGGCTGTTGACAGAGCTGAGCCTACAGCTGGAGACTGACACCAGGGATAATACCTACTGACCTACCCAGTGATTACGGCTCATATATTGACAGACGACGATTTGAAACATAATTGAATCGTCCATCAATAGGTGTATTTAGCAGGCGAATGGCTCTGAGCCTGACACAGTTGCAGCTAATACAGCGAGTATATCTTCTCCATAGTTGTTTGTGTCGGTGAGATTAATTTTAGCTGTGTAATCCCAGAGACGGGAATGATGCCACATACACTCTCTATTTAGCTAATTTAGAGACACAGATTGCTCAGGTAATACGGTGTAACCGCGACCGTCTGACTCGCTGGTGGATGAGAAATGCTTATATCACAGGTTGGTATGTTGATTTCAGAGTGCGGATTGTTAAATGCTTTCGCCTTGATCGTGTGGACGTGTCGCATCGCAGGCAGGACTTTGTGAACGCTTATGTCGACTACATCTTTAACAAGTCGGTGCAGCAGCTGTTTGAGGCATTCCACACGGGCTTTCACAAGGTGTGCGGTGGCAAGGTGCTGCAGCTCTTCCAGCCGAGCGAGCTCATGGCGATGGTGATCGGCAACACCGACTACGACTGGGCTGAGCTGGAAAAGGTCGGAGCGTTTGACTTTGTGAATTCCACTTTCAGTGCTCAAAACAAATATAGATGTAGCAGTGTGTATGTATGTTGACCTTCTTTCGCACCATACGGAGCCAACCCTGATAATTGTAGGTGCATCAGAGGCCATGACGCACAAGGATTATATTCAGATGGTCATCACCAGTGGTTGCCACCAGTAACACGTTTAGAATGATTGACATAGTCCTGTCTAGCCAATGAAAGCAGGCTTAAGTGTGTTTGTTGAGAAATTTGTCCACAGAGCGCGTAACCTTTGCAGTCATGTGACCTGTCAGTGGTGTGTTTGGACATTACAATCTCAGTTTCGCACAATGAGCGCAGATGAGATTTCTTTAGTTTTAGGCAACTGATATATTTTTTACAATTAAAATATACGCGACAGCCATTACCAATTGCTGTCAATGATTGTCCTAAACCTGCTGCTGTGTATCACGGCTTTAAATGGATATTTTTTTGTATTGGTCGTAGTCCAGTTACCAATAAGTGTGATAATCAAACTACACGCGTTCGTCCGCAGTGAATGGAAGATCTTCTTTCGGATTGTGCTCGATTTAAATCTGCAATTGAATTTTAACCTCTTTAATACTACGACATCCAGTTCTCATTTACAGAATTTCTGGAGGTGGCTCACACCAACATTTACATAAATACAGAATGTACTGTGTACACAAGTGTTTTATATTCGTAACAACGACCCCCCTCCCGCCCTCGTCTATTGTTCAGAACACGGAATATAAGGGCGAGTACTGGGCTGGGCACCCCACAATCAAATCATTTTGGGAGGTGTTCCATGACCTGGACCTGGAGCTCAAGAAGAAGTTTCTCTGTACGTATTTGTGGTCCTTTTTTCCATCCAAAAGCTAATTCTAAGGGTATATTGAGAATGTTGATGCAACACGATCCATGTGTTTTAGTGGGAAACATTTTGGGCAATCACTCTGTCATAGCAAATATTATGAACGCCCCTACATCATAGCCAGGGAGATGATCTTCATAGTAGGAGATATCTTCGCACCAATGATCATCTATCTATTGCCTAAAATATCATCTGTTGTATTTGGTCCCATTTATTGACGGATGTGTCGTTTTTATATATGCCTGGTTTGATTCCTGCTCTTGTTTATGGCTTGCAGTGTTCCTGACTGGAAGCGATCGCATTCCCATCCTCGGTATGAAGAGCCTCAAGATTGTGATTCAGCCGACAGGTGGTGGGGAGCAGTTTCTACCCGTGGCTCACACCTGTTTTAATCTTCTGGACTTGCCCAAGTTCTCCGGCAAAGCGCAGCTCAGGGAAAAACTACTTCAGTCCATCACGCATTACCAGGGATTCAGCCTGGCGTAAGCACGAACAGACGCACTGGACCCTGTGGAGACTATTTTGAGTCTTTAATGTTGTGCAATTCTCAAGCGAGATGTGCAGTTGAGCCTGAGGATACCAGGTTTAAAAGAACAAGAGCTCAAACGCAGTTACTGAATGTGATTCAGCTCTTAGCCTAACAAACGACTAAACGTGCTAACCTCAAGAACTCTACAACGTGTTCTTGCCAAAACAAGTCCAATGTCAAGTCTGTGCTGTCTGCAAGGTTTGGAACAGTATTGCTTTGTCTAGCCAGCACCATACGCTGAGGCTTAGATCGAATTCGGGAGACAAGAGGCAATTCAATAGACCTCATGCTTGCAGACGCCATGTGCGTGTAGTCTCGATGTTGTGGCTGTTTCAAGGTGGATTTGAAATGATTTGGAGAAAAGCATATTTGGAGTTAACGTGTGTGTACCTCCTGAACCGCAGCAGCAAAGCGGCACCAGCGCAAGGTTTATTGTGGACTGCAGCGAGTCACGGCTGTCATGTTGTAATTAAGCATTTTACCAGCTGTACTTGATTGATGCCAGTTAATTTTATGCAGTTCCCACAAATATAACAATGTCTGCAGCTCTTCATAATACTCGCCCCTCTAGCCCTGGTTCCTGTTCGCATGTATTGATTGTATGTGCATGCAAGTGACTGCCAGCCTTAACGTCAAGCTATGAGCAAGAAGTCGCAGCATAACGTTAGCTTCCCCTTCTTCCGGTTGCATACCAGTATACCCACATGTACGTCATTGTGTTCTGTTCCACCCCCACGCTATGAATTGCATTGAATTAGCCCCCCCTTCTGGAAATGTACATGAGCAGCCAAGGTCATCCTAATGTGCACACATTTGGGATATTTTCTTTGTCTCACGTAAGCTCTTGTACTTAAAACACAATGCTGTTGCACTGCATATCACTGTGCTTGGGATGTGGTTCACTTTTATGAAGCATTCCCCAAAATAAAAGTTCACTTATAGAGAGGGGCCTGACAGCCAAATGGCGACATAGCAAATTGGGATTCTTTGAGGGCAATGCAGGGCTTGTGGATTAAATTACCATCCATCTAAACTGATTGTAAGCTTTAATTCCTGAACATGCTGGAACTGTTAATGTAATATTAGATTAATGGCTATTTTGGTCACGTAGTTATGTTCGGGTTACCCCAGGCATCAGTCTCTTAAGCTTTTCTCATAAGTAAGCAATAACCACAAATAAGTGCACATTTATAAGACTGCAACATGACAGGTCACTGCGTTTTAAACATATGCACACAGAATGTAATTTGGACTGGTTGACTGCTTTCAAATTGGACAAGCATTTGACCAGTTACCTTAATTACTGTATGAAAATGTTCCCTAACATACAAAAGATTTAACCAAACACTATGTGCTATGCGTAGTTGAGAATAGTGCCTTCAGTGAAGGGGCAATGCAAGCTTCACATTGGCTGGGTTTTAACCTTAAGGTGAATATTCATGTATGCATAACACACCCTATAGCTGAATCTGTAGAGCATACTAACAAAACTTAATTTGCTATTAACTGCATATTCTGCTGAATAAAATAACCATGATACTGTAACTGATCAAAGGTTTATCTATAGATTTCAATATACATGGCTGACATCATTCCTCTGATAAAATTCTGTGAACAGGAGCTATGGTTAAACACTTATTTTCCTAATCTTGCTGTGGTTCGTACCATTGTTCAATCGAGATGTTGTTGCCCTATAAATGGCTCTGATGGGCACCACCTTGCTTAACTTTTCTAGTGTTAAAATAGGATTGTGTATATGGTGTGCATGTCCGAACCTAACAAGCATTCGCTATTTCAACGATTCCATTGCATTTGTTTCAATACAAGCTTCTACATTATTCTTGGAATACAAACCGATCATGGTGTTTTTGGTCAGCCAGTTTCAAAGTACTGTGATGAATGGAATTGAATAAAAGTAGTTAATTTATTTTCCTGCTAGTGTTAGTCTTCTGATTCAAGGACTTCCTGCTTGTAGTGTATCTTTAAAATATTGTACAATTGTAAATTGTTTACAGCTCAAACAATCTATTTAGCAACTATTGGTCATACTGCAACATTACCATCTTACTTCATTTAAGTTTAAAGATACTTAATGTAAAGGTTTTTTAAAATAAATGTTAAATTTTTTGAAATGCCAATAATAATGTGGTCATCTTGTCATTAAGTTTATTGTTAGATTTCCAAGAAAACATTCCTGCGGAGGGAGCTGGTAGGAACGTTGGGTTGCTCAGTCAATGGCCATGGTCAATGGCGGCGTGGTGTATTCCGCAAATATGGCCGACTGAGGGCGGGCACAAGCTGGCGTGAGTCGGTTAAACGTTGAGTTTTATAAGGGCACCACGGGGTGACCAGCGCCTCTCCACCCAGCCCCTCCCCACCCCTCTGCACAAGGGACAATAATCCCCTGTGGGTTGGTGTAACCAAGAGGTTCCTACCAGTATCAGTATTTTTGACAGTATATTGTTGAACTGTTAAGACTGCATGTGTGAAACACCGGTTTGACCTGAACAAGAAATCAACTGCGTGGAAATGTACAATGCAGCAAATGCTTTGCCTACTGTTCTTGTGGTGGCAATCCAACAGGAGCCACAGCTGTGGGATGTTAAACACCTCCCTGAACACAATCCAAAATGAACCGGTCCTCAAAAAAACCACTAAGAGCCACAAAAGGAGAGTGACATTACATTTGTTTTTAATTCACGTCACAGTGACAAAACATACATCCGTTTTAAGTGTACACCAACACTAGCGGCAATCGCTGTGGAGGGCACCACGCCAAAGTCGGGACGGCCCATGAAATTGAGGTGGTGACCAACGCGAGAGTAGATTGTGTGGGGGGACGCAGAAGTTTTCAGTGCGGCAGCTCGTGGGGAACGAGCTTGTAGGAGGCACCACAAGAAGGGCAGCGCTGGCAGTCACCCTTGTGCAGCCAGAACCACACCACAGCTGTGTTGTCCTCCTCACCTGCAGAAACACAGGCCATGCCAAACACCCACATTAAAGTGCTTGGAAAAATTGCACGAAAGACTTGACAATGTAACCCCAACTTAATTATTCCAATGAAACAGAAACGTTCAATTACTTTATATCTGTTTGTAATGAAAGCACCATTTAATATCTATCTGAAGCTTGGCGACTACCTTAGCATGGCAGTTTAAAGTGTGCCTACATGGCAAGAGATCAATTTGTGTTCACCAGTGATGTATGATTTACTATCCTAGTTGATTCAATTATGCCAGGGATCAAGACAACCTTGCCTAGGGGAACCAAATGAACCCAAGGCTGTGCTATTTTGCATGCCATGTCGATTAGTTATAAGAGGTTTAAAAAATGCAGTCGGGCATTCATAGCCAAGTTAAACCGACCTCAAACCGGGAATGGGTAGCTCCATTCTTGGCATCTTTCCCACATTCAACTCCTCTTAATTGATAAGTACACAATGGAGGTTTCAATGCAGGTATACGATTACAGACGAAGTACGGCATCCATTTTAAACCCTGAACTGACAATGGCTGAACAGACACTAATTATAATTTTGGTATTACAAGAAATGTGTAAATTTTATAGGCTTAAAACTCACAGATGCAGCCGATCAGCCGCTTTTCACCAATGGACGGCACAATGTGTGGGTCTTCCTTGGTTCCTGCGTAAGTCTTGGGTGGCTCAATGCTCCAGGGGTCCTGTATTGCAAGCAGCCATCATTGCTCAAGTGTTTGCGGGGTGATAAAAGAATGCAACATCTAAAAAGGTTTATAGCAATTTCTTGCACACACCAGGGTGTCCATTTTTAAAGATACATTTTTGCACAGTTAATAGCCAGTATGACAACATGCTATAAATATTGCTCATACTAAAACTAGCATTGTTGAACTGCTATAAGCGCAAGATGACAGATCACATTTAGCAGATTGTCACAGCTGCCGAATACAACTTTTAATTAGTTTTTGCCTAACAATAAATGAGCATGTAAAATTATTATCTCTAAACTTAAGATGACAAATCAGCTTATTAATTTAGCTTAAAAAATGTTTGTGTAATGTCGAAAATTGTATTAAGTGATTAAAATTGTGTGTAAGCTACAATGGAATGGTGCTATATGGTTACTTACAGTGCCTTTTTTCTTAGCCTCCATGGTCAACCTCTCCAAGCCCGTGGCCTGTTCTTCATCAGTGGGGATGCCACCTATGGTGAAATGAGCAACACGAGTTAATCTCTGCTACTTACTGTAATTCGCCACATGCTTAATCAGTCTAAGTTTCATTCATGGTTATTATAAAAACTGCAAGTCACCTTGGTAATGCACAAGCAGCAGCCAGCATGGAAATATTAGGTCGACTGCAACCATGCTCTCGTTTTCTCTCAATTATCAGTTTCTTAATATTTTAGACCAATTATGCCCCAACCGAGCCAATGACCAAAACACTTTCATTTTACCAGTAAGACCCACTGAGCTATACATCTTTTTCAGAAACGTGGAGGGGAAAACTGGAGGACCCAGAGAAAAATCCACACGACCACGGAGAGAACATACAGACTCTAAATATACAGGCGACAGGTTCGGGATGAAATGCACGACCTCCATACCAGGAGAGGTAGTTAACATCTCGCCACCGTGGAGACGCACAATAATCCGCAACGCGCTCGATCGTATCAGATCTCAGTATTTGGATCGGTGACCACCATGCATATAACATGTCAATAGGCTGCAGAATTGTCGTGGAGAGGGTAGTTGCACTATCTCATCCGTGCTACCCAGCTTCAACCATCACTGACTAGTGGAATATTAACAAATAACCCCCAAGACGTCCACGGCAGTCGAGTGATCTCTATCCAGCAGTAGATTGACATGTCTGTGAATGCCCGAACCGAAGCCATTCATTACAATAGCATTTAATGTGCCAGTGGCAGTACAAGCACAAACCAAAAATACACATCACCTTGAGCAGCTGCCAGAAACATTGCTCCAATACTGTCTATTATAATACAGTGCCAAAAACGAGGATATGATGTACATCTACAGCCCATCATTCAATGGCATTTCCATTGCAGATTTCTTGCTCAAGCCACTTATGGTGGAAGGACCTCCCCTACTCGACTTTTCCACGCTGGCCGGAAATCATGAAAGGGATAGGAGTTCCCACGCTTTACCCCACCACCCGCCAATCGATTGGTGTTACTCATTTATACTGCTGGATAGCAGGAGGCCGAGTCGGCGGGAGGCGGGGATCTGGTATTTAATACATTTGCCCCATTTGTTTGATCTTCCGCGCCGGGTGATCGAATCCGAACCGGCGACCTCTAGATCGCAAGTGCAGTAAGCCCGTACTGGATTGCCAACTATGAACCACCGTGGTGGCGACTGCAGCAATCAAGCAAGCAAGCAAGCGTCCCTTCTACCATTGTGATGGGCACTTGAACAACATTGTTCAGCTTCACTTCCTTGTCTGCGCAGACGATGACGGCGCGCGCTCACTGCGGCACAGAAGATGGAGGGCGGCGGCGGCGGCGGCGATGTCTCGGCGTGCACCGTGTGCGGATATATTCACAACACGTTTCGAACACACTTGAGCATAGCCGTCACCAAACACTATCGAATACGTATAAAGAAAAAGTGCAGGCGGCCGAAGGGTAACGTGGACTATCGCTGCCATGCAACGTGGATGGTCACTTGACCGCACACCCCGTGCATGGCACGAAATAATTGTCATACCTGTCAACCCCCTTGTCAGTGCCCTACCTTATTACAGACCAATTCAGACATTATTGGTCACCCCGTGCCCTTATCAATCTCAACGTTCATTCTACAAAGTCCCATCACAAGGGAGAAACAGAAACACAAAGACTGTTTTTTGCCCGTAAACGGATGAACGCCGTACGGACCTGCAGACTCATGGGTTGATACGGGTTTTATTTATCTTTTACCAGGTAAGAAGACCCAGATGCGGCCTGGCCACATCTGGGTCTTCTTACCTGGTGGCTTATGGCGTGGAGCAGCCAAATACTCTCGACTCGCTTGACACGCGTCCCACTGTACCGAATGTTTACGTACGTTGTGAAAGTTGAACTTCTTTCGCACCGTACGTAGCCAACCGTGCTAATCGGAGGTGGAGTGATAGAAAACGAATATTACTGGAGCGGTGGCGCCGCGATTAGGGCACTGCGGTCATCAGTGGCACGTGGCACATGGAACGACCTTCCATACATCAACCTACTACCCGCATTGACCGGCGTGGTGAAGTATGGTCAAACTCATATAACCATCAGCAGGGGCTTGGCTCAGGATTGAAAATTGACCAAACGAATTGATAGAATGGATAAATTGATGTATGATGATAAAATTTTATAATACTGGGTAATTTATAGTCGGTCGTTCACGATAAATTACAATTACAGAGACATAAACAATGAGTAATAGCCACCATCCATGATGATTCCACTTCTGGTTGAGGGTCTTCCTCGCAATCGACGCCACTTTCACAATAAATACCTATTACCGACTCGTAATTGAATATAAAACAACACCAAGTGACAACGGCGCGCTACCAAGTGTCCCACTAAACCTTTCTCAGTCAAATAAAAACCCAACCGCGCTGTTACCCCGCTCACAATGCCGGGGACCAACATCACTCAGAGGTCACCTCCCCGTACAGAGGGCCCAGCCGCTCAGGGCCTGTCTCTCCTCCCTGCAAGGCCAGCAAGCCTCGCTCCCCCAAGCAACAACCACGAGCTCGGCAAACCCACAGCTAACCCTTCCCCAAGTTGGCATAAGGGGGGAAAGATCTACAATGTGCGAGACCGAGCAGACTCAGACACTCCGAGCGCCAATGTCCTTGGCGCGGCCTAGCGCCGCAGGCCTAAGCCCGCGTCCTCCACACACCGCACTAACCTCCGCTCGCTATGGCTCGCATCGCCGGTCTCACGCTCCCGACGGCCGCGACACGACGGCCGGCGTTGAGAGACGCTCGTAGAAGCAGCCTGGAGGCCATGGCGAGGTTTCGTGGGCACGGTGATGTGTGTTTGTGTGTGTGGGAGCCGCTCTCCTCCTCGACGTCTTCCTCTGCTGCTGCGTCCGCACCGTGTGGGGGGGGGGGGGGTCACCACAGCGAGTGGGGGGAGGAGTCTCTGCAGCACGTGACGCAGAACCCGCCATCTTAGGTAGGGAGGGCACCCCCCCCCCCCCCCCGTGTATCGATGCGCGTGCGCGGCCTAGCGGGCCCGAGGCTCCCCCCCCCCTCCCCCGGGACCCCACCTCCCTACGTAAGATGGCGGCGGCTGTGGTGTACGTGCAGACATCTGGCTAATTTAGGGGGGGAGGAGGGGAGGGGGTGACGTCACGTCCGGCCTGCACGAGGTACGGGTCGCGGGAAGGGACGATTTTTTTGCGTCACTCGATTATTTAAAAAAAAAATGCGAAGCGAAGTTTTGAAGAAAAAAAACTACCCACGATATTTTTTTTCACTTAAAAAAATATACTAAATTTACGAAACGAATTTTAACCACTTCTGTGCAGGGTTATTTAATGACATTGATACGCCGACCGAATAAAATGCACTTGTGGAAGACTCCCGTTCGAGTCGAAGACATAGCTAGCTTGCTTCGGTGACCTTTCCTCCGTCACAGAGGTGACCCCACAAATAACGAGCAGCGCTGTGCAAGGTTAAACTCTTTACTTGCGCTGCTCGCTGGGCTATAGTAGCTGGACTTCGCAGTTGCACCGGTGGATTTTACATGCGCGATAGCCCGACGGCTATAAACTCAGTATTGGTGGGGGACGAATGCGATGTTACTGTGGTAGTGGTAGTAGTGGCACAAACTCAATAGTGGGGTGCAGTGCCCTGGACAAATCCCACTGGGCGGACCTCCCCCGACGCCTTCAAACTAAATCAGAAGTATTACATCAAACACCATGATGTGGAAGCGCTGCCCCCCCCCCCCCCCCAAAGCGCGGGGCCCGGGACGGTCGCCCTGATGCGCCGTACTCTAGGGACGCCTCTGGGTGTACTGTGCCATTCTGCCAAATCTCTGCTGCCTACCTTCAATACGCAGTGACCAGCGTGGTGAAGTATGGTCAAAAAACTACCCACCGCATGGTATAGGCAGGCCTGCTTCCAGCAGTGGATTTACGAATATAAACTTTTTGAAAGGCCACTGCTCATTTTAAGCGGTGCCGTAGCCACATATGAAGTGGCGTATGTCTGGGAAGTTATAGGAGCCAAATAATGTTCATGGAAATATCGGAGGACCCAGAAAAAAATCAACTCGACCACGGAGAGAGAGAGAACACGCGAACTCCAAACGCGCAGGCATCGTTAGGGTTGAGATCGAATCCACGACCTCCTGCACACTAGGCGAGGGAGACAACATCTCACCGCCAAAGGCTGTACATTTGTGTTATTGGTAGATATACTGTACTGCACTTTGTCAACAATTAGAAATACCGGCAGAAATCCCAAGAAAACACTTACAAACCACGAGTAAACTCTTAAATCACAAAATAAAAGTGGTGTCAGTAATAGTGGCCCTTTAAGAGGAATGGTTTCAAACGAATGGCAGAAAAACTCGCCAGATGTTTGGAAAAACAAGATTTGGCACGGTACATAAAATACAGACATGAATATCTGGTAAAAAAAGATATTACTGAAGCTATCAACAGAAGGTGTGTATCGGATTAACTGCACTTGTGGCAAATGCTATGTTGGGCAAACACGACGAATGATCAGCACGAGACTAAAAGAACACCAAAGAAATATTAAATACTCCCACATACAACTGTCAGCAGTAGCAGAACACGCGTGCCAACAAGGACACTCTAATTGATTTTGATCATGTTGATGTTCTGTGCTAAACTAGCTACTACTAGCCAAGACTAATTAGAGAATCTATCGAAATTGGAAGAAATAAAAATAGTTTTAACCGTTCAGATAGCTACCGAGTTAGTGCTGCGTGGAAGCGAATCATTAAATAATTCATTATTTAAATGCATCCCTATACAGGCCACCATACTTCAATAGGGGTTACTGTTGGTACGGCTATTTTCATACACACAATGGACAGGAAGGGCAGATCAATGAGCTCGCATAATGCGCATGTGTGGTGCCATGGCCGCGGTAAAACTCTGCAAGCGCCGCGACTCCCCCCTGGCACCTACACTGAGCACACGCAGTGCACACACGTAGTGTCCTGGCAGGGGGTTGTCTGGCACATCGGGTTTTAATCTGAAGGGCCCCTAGAGGGAGAGTCCCTCGGTTTCCCGGTGCCCGGAGATTGGCTGACCCTCGCATTGCGGTGCCCATAAATTGCCTTAAAGTTGTATGGGCGCAGAAAGAAAAGGTTTACTGGGCCAACCGCAATAAGTTATTCACGACATTGGGAGAGGCTGAGCGTGGAATATTAGGCAAGAAGGGCAGACCAGGAGGTCAGAATTAGTGAACATGGGAGAACAATGGCTGAGCGGCGCAGTAGCACAATCCATGGCACAAGGTCCAAGTGAGCGGTAATCAGAGGTAGGTGCACGATTGGCCCGCGGCACTCCATGTAGAGGGGCAAGTGGGAAAACGGCGCAGGTAAGCGCACGATTGGCTGCGTGGTGCGACGTCACCCTGGGCCTTTGAAGTTTAGGGAATAAAAAATTAACCCGTAAAAACAAAGTTTTTCACTATAAATCCTTTTTATGCGTGGCGGCTAGAGTCCTCTGGCTTGAGATGGCTGCCACCTATGGGTCAGATGATTGCCTGCCACCATTAAGCAATTGGTAATTAAATAAATAAAAATTCATAAAAAGTGTAAAGTTATGGAAAAAAAATTTCACGAAAATAAATTGTCACGCACAACGAGTCTGTGTGCAAAATGTCAGCTCGATTGGATCACGGGAAGTGGGTTAAAAAACGACCGAAAGATTTGCACGGTCGTAAGCAAGCAAGCAAGTGAACTTAATATAAAGGATTTTAAAAAGAGTCGCCCTGGACGATTTTCAAGCTCTTGTCTTCAACCTCTGGGCCGTAAAGACCCTGCCGTCCTGCCTCCTCGAGCCGTTCGCAGCATTCGTGTGATGCCAGCGAGTGCTGCTACGAGGCAGTGATAGGTAAAGTTCTCTCTCGTCCTTCTCTCTCCGACTCTTACAGCGTCCGTGCGACGTCGTGAGTACAGCTTCGAGATACGTGGTAGGACGTCTGAGTGACTGTGTACGTAGGCAGAGTTAGGCGAGGCTCTTCTCACGAAATGTTCCCCCAGGTTATGGGTATTTGCGCCACGAATAAAAAGTAGCACAGAGCATCGTGTCGTGTCTGTGATTTGTGTGGGTGGAGCGACGCGTTGCGAGAGGAGTGAACGCGGAGCCGCAGCGTGTGCGCGCGTGTTAGGACAGAATCACACGGAGGTGCGACGTGTTCACGCCGCCGCGCTCGCGTTAGCTGCAGAGTGCGCGCGTGTGAAGAGGAAATCCGTCGTCGGTGTGGACGCTAGTGTGCCGCTGCGTGCTGTGTTAGCGTTAGCTGTGGTGGGCTTTAGGAGATAATCGCCCGCAGGTGCAAGTGCATTCGCGCCCCTTTGTTAACAATAGCTGTGGTTCATCTTCTTGGTTCTTTCAGTAAAGTCACGTAGAATGGAAATAATAAAATAATAAAAATGAAACATAATTAAATCATTCTCACGACGTTTCGGCCACAACGCAAGCAGCCGTCCTCAGGTGGGGAACAGGTCTGTCGAGGATTATTTTATTATTTCCATTCTACGTGACTTTACCGAAAGAACCAAGAAGATGAATCCTTGCAGTCACGAAAGCTTTACATCGAAATTTAATAGCTGTGGTGTGCAACGGAGGCGCGTTGAGGAAATCGCTCGCCGGTGTAAGCGCAAGCGTGCCGCTGTGTGCGGTGTTAGCAACAGCTGCGGTGTGCACGGGCGTGCGTTGAGGGAATCGCTCGCAGGGGTAAGTGCGAGCGGGCCGTAGTGTGCTGTGTTAGCGGTAGCAGCGGTATGCGCGGGTGTGTGGGTTAACTCCGTGCGGCTGTGAGCAAGCAATTTAGCTACGTCCCTCAAAGAGGACGCTAGCGTGGGGGGGCTGATCACCCAGTCAGCGGGGGCATGGCAGGAGTCGATCGACGCGGTGGAGGAGGAAGTGGAGGGGGTGGACATCGGCCCCCACACATGCATAATGTTGACTCAAGAGCGCAGAAGCGTAGTCACCACATCTACGCCTCTATATAAGGAACAAAACAGGTGGACTTCTCCACAAATCTGGCTGTCGCCTGATGAAGCTAGTTGCAATTACTGGAGAAATGTCGTACTCAGATTGTAAATGGTGTGGCTTGGCTCTCCAACACACCGGTGTGCTGTACTAGTGACGAATTGGCATGTTCTGTTTACGTGACAACCCTTACTAGTTGGCTGTGGCGGGTGGTGGCGTGTTTAACAACACATTTATATATTTACGCTATCAAACCCAAAACACCTCTATTAGGGATTAATTGTATTTGGATCTTTATATGAAAAAATAAATGCATTTGTATAGACCTGTGCCCACTCCCAACAGTGTTTGGGGAAGTTCTGGATTCTGCAGCTGAACTTCCCGAATAAAAAGTGATTGATGACTCTTCCAATTATTGGTTCGATAAGTCGACTCATGGGATAACATACAATTGGGGGGAAATGCTCAATTCTGTTTCCACGTGTGCTGCTGGACGGGCGGTCATTGGTGGGGCTGTTAGGGGGTTTCAGGAAACAGGACATAGGCAGTACCAATTTTACATTGGCCTCAGTAATTGATCAATTACAGTGTTCAGTCAATGATACTTAGTTAACTAATCGTTTCAGACCTACATTTAAGCTGCATGCATCTCTGTCTTGGAAAAAAAGGCATTGAGTGATCCACCAGGCTTCATGGTCCTTGAACAGCATATAACTCACATCCGTTGTCTCTTGTCTGGTGGCTATGGCTTTGACTGTCTCTTGAGAATGTAATTATGATTGTGGAACAGGGGGTTTCTCGTTGCAGCCGGCGTCTTATTTTTTTAAGAAGGCTAAACTGACTCTTTTTTCTCCAGTAAGAGGATTCAAAGGGTTTTGGGCCATCCTTAGTTCTGGCAGAAGAAGACCTTTTCAGAAAATTGGTGTATGAAGTACTTTGACTTTGCAGGTATCACGCTGAGGTGATTAAGATTCAATTTCTGACCTATCTTAGTGTGCAACCATCATTTTATGGAGACCTTTTTTCTACAGACGTGGAAAGCACCGAGAGTATACTTCATACGAAACATGGGTACTTCATTACATTCGGGTACTCTATATAGCAGCAGGTCAATTTAGTAAAACATGTGTTTCCCCTTTGTTGAACTGGCAGTTTTAATGTATTAGTCAAAATAGGCCACGCATTATGCACAGGTGAACAACGGTCCAAATGTGTAGAGAGGGACATAGTAAGAGATTAGAGACACAAATAAAGGTGGGGCAAGACCATGGAGGGATTTTAAGACGAGAATGAGAAATGTAAATATACAGTGATAGTAAAGAGTGAGTCAGTGGAGTTGGAAAAGTGGAGCAGAAGTGTGGGAATTGTGGGGGGAGGTTAAAATGATCTGGGCTGAGGCATTTTGTATCTGTTCGAGAGGCAAGGGCAGGAAGACCAAGAAGAATAGAGTTGCAATTGTCAAAGTAAGTGAAAATTAGGGAGTGAATCAGGAGTTTAGCAGCAGATCGTGAGATGAAAGGACGGATTTTGCAAATATTGTATCGGTGAAAGCGGCAAGTAGAGGTAGTGGCAGATATATGTTTGGGGAGAGAGGAGTTGAAGATGACCCCGAGGTTGCGAGCAGATGAGACAGGAGTGAGGGAAAAGGGAGGGAATGAGATGGTAGGATAGAGTGGAAGGGAGCAGGGAGAGGGGAAAAAAGGATTTCAGTTTAAGAAGGATTGAGAGAAAGGTAGTGGCGTAGCATCCAGGACTGGACAGTGATTAAGTAGTCGGAAATGCGGGAAGCAAGGTCAGAGGTACAGGAGGCAAAAAAAATCTTGACTGTCGTCAGCGAATAGATGATGGAAAAAGTTAAATGAAGAAATTACAGCTTCCAGAGGTGAGATATCGAGCGAGAATAGGAAGGGTCCTAAGACCATCGGGGAACCCCAACAGTGACGGGGAGTGAGGGGGCGTCGTTGAGTCGTTGAAAGCAGAGGAAGTGCGTGAAGAGGGATGAGACTGGAGCCAGGAGAGGGTTGTACTAGAGATACCGAGATTGGAGAGGGTGGATAGGAGTGTGCGGTGAGCGACTGTGTCAAAGGTTGAGGATAGCATCAAGGAGAATGAGGATTGAGGAGAGGCCATTGGAGCACGACACATTTTGAATAGTAAAGGTTGTGCTGGAAAGGCAAGATTCTGGTCTATTCGTTGCCAACATATGTATACTCCTGCAATGCCCCTTCTCATGGACATTGGAATTAAGCCGGACAGATTATAACAGTAAAGGTGATAAGATAATTATGAGTGGTGAGAGAAAACCATTAATATACAGGAAGCCATTTTAATTTTTAACATTTCAACAGTGCCATGTATAAATCTAGATGAAAATCCATCCAAATTCCAAGGATTGAAGGAAAATATAATTTTCACTAGAAACCACATAGATTAATGTAAATACGTTTCAAAGGGATGTCAGATTATAAAATGAAAGATTGCATCAAGTGGTAGCTTTGAATATATATTCGTTCTTGTTAAATATTATAACAGTATAACTATATCTTCTTGGTTCTTTCGGTAAAGCCACGTAGAATGGAAGTAATAAAATAATAAAAATAAAACATAATAAAATAATTCTCACGACGTTTCGGCTACAGACAGACCTGGTCTTCACCTGAGGACGGCTGCTTGCGTTGTGGCCGAAACGTCGTGAGAATTATTTTATTATGTTATATGTTTATTATTTATTTTTATTATTTTATTATTTCCATTCTACGTGACTTTACCGAAAGAACCAAGAAGATGAATCCCTGCAGTGATGAACGCTTTAAATCGAAGTATAACGGTAACTAGATACATTTGTTGACCCCATTCACCAAATCAATGCCTATAAAAAAAAGTATCTAATCACTTCCTATTTTTACATAGTCCAATATTTAAACCTTTTACGCGACATTTCTTTATTTTCCATAAAACTTAATATAAAAAAGGACATACACATTTTTACATTTGATAATTTTTCACGTTCCCCTCCCCCCCAAACAGAGTTGGATTTACAGTCACGTTCTACATACATTCTTGCAACAACAAAATACTCCAGCAGAGTAAGTTCGATTTTTTCCCCAAAAAACTAAAAACTAGATTTTTGTTTATTCAAAGTTACCCACCACCCTGTGTTCCCACATCTACGCAACCCTCCTTCACCAATCTGTATTAGGGGGGGGGGGGGGGGCTCATTCGGCAGAGGATTTACAAAGGGCTTGTACATGTGCCCGGTGAATAACACCCTAACTCGATTACATAATTATCCAACGCTCCTTTATTTTTGCCCCTCTACGCCACGTTTACACTTGCTGCATTTGCCTGTTATTCATTGTAACTCTTACTGTGTGCATGTGACATCACCGAATGGGTAGGCGGAGAAAGCCATCCTGGCCCTTGGCCAATGGGTCACGGATTTCCACGTTCCCACCCACTCTGTGTTTTGCGGGTGAATGTCGCTCCTCCCAACCGGAGAAGAGACTCCTTGTCTGTCTCTCTCTCTCCCCCCAATTATCCCGCACGCAGCACATAAACTGTGGTGCCACAACCGCCTCGCATCCATTCGCGTCGCTGCTCTTGGCTCCTTGGTGTGGCAGGGAATAAAAAAAATCATGGACAACGCTTCCCTGGACGCCATCCTAAGTGGTGCCGAGGACGTTGGGGAAGACTACTACAGCCTTCTGGGTTGCGACGAGCTTTCTTCGGTGAGTGCATCTCTGCAATTGCACCGTGCATGACAGTCCTTAATCTCTCACCACCACCCCTAAACTCTGCCCACCCCACCACCACACTCAGTGTGTCTGCGCAACCTGTGGCTCATGCTCGATGCTGTTTCGTGCAGCTAGCCCTCATTTGCTCTGCTAAGGGTTTAGATAAGATGACATATGATCGGCGATATGCTTTAAATGATGGAGAGAGATGGATCATGTGCATTTAGGTGGGAAACTGACCAGACGGACAAAAATAAAAGAGATTAACCCGTACCACAAGGGGTGTGCGAACTTTATGGGAGTGGTCACTGATGAAAAACACATTACATTCATACATTTCCAAATAACAAAATAGCAAGAAAACGTAGGTGATACTGTCAATCAAAAGCAGTGATGAGTTTGGGATTTTTTTTCAATGTCTAGTGGATCTTCGACTGTAATTTATCATTGGACATGTTTTTTACAATACATGACAATCCAAAAATACAAAAAGCTACTACATCCTTTACATTCTAACAAAGAAAAAATATGATCGAATTATAACAGACGCCAATATTATCCAACCTCCATATGTAGATCAGGAATACCAATATGGTTAAATGAACCACAATAATTCGTAATACTCACAACAACGTTGATGTTAGCCGTGCCCAGAAATGGAACTGAGGTGGATAGATACACGGACCTCCAATATCTGCCCGAACAGAATCCCACCGTCTGCCCTAAGAATTTCCGCTTGGTCGCCCAACTTTTGAAGACCATAACAATCCATGTCTCGGTAGCCGATCCACCAGCACAACCATTTTTGCTTGATCATATCCACAATACTTGCCATGTTTCTCTTGCAGTCTTTTGGATCGCTTTTTCTATCTTGCCACGAAGTTCGTAGCAGAAAAAAATTCTGCCTGGAATAGGTGGAAGCCAATTCTGCAAAAACCAAAAAACTCATCAGACAATCAGTAGCCGAGGAAGTGCCGATGTGAATCCCGAGCGCGTGCTGACATGGTCGAGGGGCAGTGCATTTGCCGCTTGTTGAAGATGTTCGCAGTTTGCACCCAGCGGCCACCCTGGTTAATACTGCGGATGTATGAATAAAAAAATACGCGCTGTCGGCACTTCCTCGGCTACTGATTGGCTGATGAGTTTTTTTTTTGTTTTTGCAGAATTGTCTTGTTTCACAGTGCAAATTAAAGACCGTGTAGTTTGTTTGAGTAATAGGTAGGCCAGCATGCTGTCGTTGAGGGCCAAATTTGAAAATGTTCCGCAAATTACCCAATTACCTGATTGGGTATAACAACATAAAAACATTGACCCCGTATTGCCAAATTATTTCTTTCTGTGAAATATAGTGCCTATGTGATAGCATTGTGCTATAAGAATGGTGCGAATACCTAATGTATTATAAACACGCTTTATCAGTAGGCGAGCTTAACCAGGCGAACCAATAAGGCTCTGGTCGGTGGATTGACAATGGGTAAGTTATTTTAATGCTCAGGATCAAAGGAAGAAAGGCTGCTAAAACAACACACCTGGGTAATAGAAGCAACTAGATTGCTAATTCAAGCTGCTTACAATGAAATCTTGTTTACTATAATAAATTGCAATAATTTACAGTGCTTTTGACAATCCACTGCTGAATTAAGACCTCTTCTCCTCGTGCAAGTCCTGGGGGTTGTTTAACCATACTTCACCACACTGCTCAGTTGGAGTTTGTGCATGTGGGGTTCCAGAACTGTTTCAGATATCATCTTCCACTTGACTGACTTTTTCCATGGTCAGGAATCAAGCTCAGATCGCCAGGCTAGGAGCGCAGTGCTACCTGCCATCTTCCCTCCACCTGCCTTCACCAACACATGACTTAAGCCAGGAACTTATTAGGCTACACGGGGAATTGTTGTATGCTTGTATATGGTTTTGAAATGGGATCGAAAGTTTAAGAGAAGTAAATACCTGCTCTAAAGTTTCCATACAGACAAAATGGAAAGCCCTGTCAAGCCACGTGCCCAGCTCATGATTTACGCAATTTTTCAAGTGTTGGCTCTGCCCCTAACCCAGCTCACTGTTTGGACCATTCCGCAATCGTGCCACGTGCAGTGACGGAACGGTTCCTTGTTTGTACAGAATTGGTCGGAAGTGAAGTGCAAAGTGAAACACTTCAATGTGGCGTGAAATCGGTTTGTCATTCCACTAAAAAGTAGTGAAATGGTGGCCAAAATAGTTACGTGAATCAGGCCCGAAGTCATTCATAAAGAATACATTTTTTTTGTAGAAGTTCCTTAGCCAAATATCTAAATCTAACTACAAGATGGGCATGTACCATGAATCAGCAGCGGTTCGTGCACTGCATTATGAACCCGGTGACCTCCGTTTCATCCTCCCAAACCCCCCCCCCTATAACCGAGAGGTGCAGTGAGGAACCCCATCAGCCAGCAGCTGATTGACAAAGGGGTGTAAATTGTTATTTAAAGGTGAGGAACAACCCAATCTCTGTCACATGCAAACATCACAACATCGTTCGTTGGCGTCTTAGCCACTGTGTCGAACGCCCCTCCTGTTAAGCGGCCATTGACCCAGTTGTAGAACTCATGACTGAGGTCAGAAGGTGTTTTGCACGCATCACAATGTTTCGGATATACTTGTTCTTAACTTGACACACATAGCATCGTCTTTAATTCCCCCATGCTATTTTGAGAATGCTGTGACATGCAGGATTAGCATACATTCGAGTTGGAACACCTAAATAGCCTGGATGTGCTTAATCTTAAGGCTTACAAAAAGAAGAATTGAAGCAAAATGGGCATAACTTGATGTAAAAAAAAAGACATGGGACAGGTCGAACGAATTAGATATAGAAAATGTTTATTGTGCTCCTCTTTGCCGTGTGTGTGCGGGTGGATTTGGTTTGCAATTCATTCCTCTATGCCCAATGACGTGGACAAACATTGGCAAAGCATAATAAAAGAAACCATGAGGTAATCAGCTAAATTGGAGTGTAGCACACGCGGCTCTCTGCGTTATGCGGTGTACGTACGTAATGCATGGACACTTTCTCTCCCCCCTCAACCAGTATATATACAGGGTAGTATCCCTTGGAATCTCTCATTTACTTGATTACAGCAAGCGTGCTGTGACGGTTCCACCTGAAGACGGAAGCTTGTGTTGCCTCCGAAACAGTCGTGATTTTTATTTTACCTTTATTAATTTAGATTTTTTACCTACGTGACTTTACCGAAAAACCTAAGAATATGGACACTTTCTCTGCCTAAAGGTGGGGAGCATTTTCCGAAATAAAGCCATCCTGGGGAGAACCATGTGAGGGGACTTAACCACCTGATACATTCATAAAGCTGGGCACAATAAGCAAAAAAAACAAAGTTGATTTGTAACAAGACCAGTGATGTGTTTCTAATATCCTCATCAACACTTGTGTGCAGTGGTAATGCCTCCTTCTGCACACAGAGCACATATTCCATCTCGACTTGAAGCAATGCTATTGATGCCCATTATTTTAGGAGTCCACCCTTAATATGGAAGGATGTGCAGGAATCATGAGCCGTGTAGGAACCGGAAATGAATTGGAGTGCTTGTGTGTTATAGGGTATCGTAGGCGGGGAGTTGTAGTGCAGTGGTTAAGCTCACAGCTAACATCAGTGACTAAGTTAACCGGACATGGGTCAGACTCATATCACCTTGCCAGTGCACTGCTCTACCACCTGTAGACCTAAGCACTTAGCAGTTAAAGTCCCATGCAATCACAAGACTAAGTTTGTTGTCGTGTCCCCAATGAGATTAATCCATGCAATTATCAGTGATGACCAAAGTAAAATAAGATATATATTTTTTGCTTGTTTTCGACATGGGTAAATAATGTCTCGTTTATCATTTTGTCCTCCAAGCGCATTATGACTTTAAATAAAATAATGAAATTATATGCTAGCCAAAGTGCTTATTGCACAACAAGCTGTGGATAATGGAGGCTCTTTGCTGTTGGTTTGATTCCCATCCACTGCTGATATCAGTGGCGAGTGATATCTACCCCAGTCCTGGGCAACATCCTTCACCAACCCACAAGGACTAGCTTGGTCAAGTATGGGTCAAACAAGCCTGCTAACCAACATGGGAATGTATCAAACAGCATTGTATTGACAAAGACCTGTCATTAATAATTTTTAGTTATTCATACAAACCGCCACGGGATGTTGTAAAAGGACCTTTGCTTGCAAGCTCCAAACTAAAAGTTAAAGCCGTCGTTTCAGCCACTCTGCTTTCATCAGCCTTTTTATGCGCTCTATCATGAGCGTGTGACGTCACTCCACATGCCGCACCCCTCCCCAATAACCATTAGCGGGTGACGTCACTCCACATGCTGCACCCCTCCCCAATAACCATGAGGGAGTGACGTCACTCCACATGCTGCACCCCTCCCCAATAACCATTAGCGGGTGACGTCACTCCACATGCTGCACCCCTCCCCAATAACCATGAGGGAGTGACGTCACTCCACATGCTGCACCCCTCCCCAATAACCATGAGCGGGTGACGTCACTCCACATGCTGCACCCCTCCACAATAACCATTAGCGGGTGACGTCACTCCACATGCTGCACCCCTCTCCAATAACCATGAGGGTGACGTCACTCCACAAGCTGCACCCCTCCACAATAACCATGAGGGGGCGACGTCACTCCACATGCCGCACCCCTCCCCAATAACCATTGGCGGTTGACGTCACTCCACATGGCGCACCCCTCCACAATAACCATGAGGGGGTGACGTCACTCCACATGCCGCACCCCTCCCCAATAACCATGAGGGGGTGACGTCACTCCACATGCTGCACCCCTCCCCAATAACCATTGGCGGTTGCCGTCACTCCACATGGCGCACCCCTCCACAATAACCATGAGGGGGTGACGTCACTCCACATGGCGCACCCCTCCACAATAACCATGAGGGGGTGACGTCACTCCACATGCCGCACCCCTCCCCAATAACCATTAACGGGTGACGTCACTCCACACGCTGCACCCCTCCACAATAACCATGAGGGGGTGACGTCACTCCACATGGCGCACCCCTCCACAATAACCATGAGGGGGTGACGTCACTCCACATGCCGCACCCCTCCCCAATAACCATTAGCGGGTGACGTCACTCCACATGCTGCACCCCTCCACAATAACCATTGGCGGGTGACGTCACTTCAGATGGGGCAACCCCCCTAATTAATAATCATGAGCTGAACAATTTTTCTATTGAATATTTCAGACTTACTGCAATATACACCCTTCCTCGGACGGGCAAAAAAGCTCGTAGTTATTATCCAACCTGCCTCTTATCCGCGCCCTTAAAACATCTGCAAGGCAATGACTGTATTTCTATTGTCCGAGGCTTCACGTGGATTAGAGCCAGAGGGACCCTAAAGCGGTTACAAACTGATCCTATCCATGTTTATTTGCACTTTGACACTCGGATAAATGGCGAAATATGTACATATCATCAGTCATGGTCAACCTAACGTTGGGTGAAGGCCTCTCCAAGGTTTCACTATGTACGTACCCTGGTCCTGTGACGTAACAATCCACCCAGCTGAGCCGATGCCATCACTCCATCTCCTTGCTCGACATCCTGTCGGATGCATTCCATCCCTTCGCTGCCACGGATAATCGCATGCCCCTTTGTCACAGCAAATCAGAGGGGTTCAGTCGTCGATTCGAAAGACCCTGTGATATGACGTCTTACTTTTCAATGGGCCGTCTGCCAGTTTCATGGCGGAAATCTTAAATTTCAAAATCGCCTACAAAGACCAAATAAGAAATATGAATAATGTCTCCATTCAGCCGTGATTTCTTAGATCTAGTTTGCAAGGCATGAAATGAACGAACCTCTATGTTTTACAACAAGCAGACAATTTGCAAAGGTCTCGTCATTTACCAGACTGCAAAGCACCGACACAAGCAGAGCGCGGTTTAGAGCATTAGTCCTCAATGTGTCGTGTCTATATTACAGTATTTACCCGCCGTAAGAGCGTTAACTCACACTCACAACGTCAAATTTTTAATTCTCTACAGAACGTGAGCTAGAAGTGTATTAGTGCCATCAGTAATCTCTTTTGTGTATAGAGCAGAATGGTAATTTATGATTTTATCAAATTACGAAGAGAAGGACTGCCGAGTTAAACTGGGCACAACAGTTGCAGGTGGATGTAAAACTCATGTTGCAGCTCACTGAATGATGCAAAATCAATTACCGCATCAAGCAGGGTAAAGGTTAGGGATAGGGCATTTAACGCAGCAGCTCCTGCCTGTGTGTGTGTTTGCCTTAAGTGATTCATTTATGCTGGTGCTCTGGTACCAGCATTTGCGTCACAAGTGTGTTTTCCATCTTTGACCAGCACTGTTTGCTGGTTTTTTTTACTCTTTCTATTGTAAGTTAATTGCAGCACGTAATATATTGCTGCCCGGAAGCACGCTGCTTTAGTCTGTGGGCTTAACGTTGTGGAAACGAGCGTAGTGACGTACTGGCACTGCAGGACAAAATGGAAGTATTGCAATTTGTTTTTTGTTAGATGGTTTTCAAAACACGACAGTGATGATGAATGTCAGTCTGTATACATTGGCATTGACCTTCTGAAGTGTTATGTAACTTCATTAGGCATTTTGAATGGCCTTGTTAAGTTTCCCAATGACTGCAGTTTTCAAGCGACGTATAAACACTGGCTTAATGAAATTTCAAACAGGCCTTTTTGTTTGGAACGTCTGCCTGCACAACACAAAAACACTACACAACACTGCTGCATTCATTATCGCTAACTAGACAAATTAAGTCCATTATTCTCAATTTCAGAGCCTCAAAACAACTTGGTCGGTTGTTCTGGTGGGACATGGGGAGTGAGGGATAGTGTCTTGTTCACTAGATTCTTTTCTGGCTTTGATTCAGCCACTTTACCCAGAGAGGCCACTCAGGTCAACTGATCCCATTGTCACGACAGTTGTTATTTCTACCGTTACAAATATAAGCGTTATGTGTGCCCTAAAAAACCTGTGGCCACTGAGTCTTGTGGATGATGGAACCTTTATTTAGTATGCAAGTAATGATGCATAAGTTCCTTGATGGCAATCTATTCTCACACTCACAATACTGTGCATGCAATCGTACTGCGGATGTGAAAAATCATTATTTGTAATATGGAAATGATGTGAAAAGTTTTGATTTAAAGCTTTCGTGACTGCAGGGATTCATATTATTGGTTCTTTCGGTAAAGTCACGTAGAAGGGAAATAATAAAGTAATAGAAATATAACACATTTTTATTATTATTTTATTATTTCCCTTCTACTTGACTTTACCGAAAGAACCAAGGATATGAAAAGTATCTAGGCTAATGTTACATTAAGGAAATTAAGAGGCAACAAATTTGTACGAATGAGATATAAATAAAAAAACCATACAAATAACAAAAAATAGATCCAACTTGTGATCCTAAATCGCAAAATTATATCGAATCGCTGTGAAGGGTTGGGGGAGCGGGAATTATTATAATGCACCAACTTTAATCTTGATTTGAAGTTTTCATAACTACAGGAATCCATACTCTTTGGTTCTTTCGGTAAAGTCACGTAGGTAGAAATAAAATAAAATAAATCACGACGTTTCGAACGCAACACAAGCACCCGTCTGTGTTGCGTTCGAAACGTCGTGATTTATTTTATTTTATTTCTACCTACGTGACTTTACCGAAAGAACCAAAGAGTATGCACCGACTTTATGAAGAGCTATTGACCAATATTGTATATGTACAGTATTTAATGTCTAGTACAATAAGGAAATGGGTGGTCTACAAAAACGATTGAGGACAAGTTTGTAAAAACAATTTACAGATTCTCCTCAGACTTAATTTCTTAATATAATGACCGGCAAGAAAATGCTTATGCCCTATTAAAACAAAAGCACATTCACTATATAACATTTTTCAGTGACTCATTCTGAAATAATTTTGACCGCTCGTCATACATTTGCAACGACTGCAGCTCTGCCATGTGGCCTTGTTATGTTAACCGTGTATTTCCACAGAGCATCTGAGGTTTACGCCAGCCCTGGTATGAGGTTACATTGTCCATAGCTTGTCCTCGACTCTTCAGTCCCAATCTGAAATAATTCAAAGTGACCCATATGTAAATACATATTACTAACGCCCACCCCTTTGAAACAAAAAATATTTACAATAACAATACATGTCCAGAGGTCAGCAAATATTTATTGACCCTGCATAGCCTTGGAGTGGAGGGGTAGGACCAATGCTCAGTGTACTGCCCTTGTCGTTGACTGTGACCAAATATGACACTGCTGCCTATTAACTCGGTGTCCCGATTTGACTTCTGACCACAGCTGATACCAGTGGTGAGTGATAACCCACCCAGTCACTGCGCCCTCATGAACCCACACTGACAAGCGTATGAAGTAAGGTCAAACAACCCCCATTACTCACATGGCATGGATGGACAAATGCCCGAAAATGGTTGTGTATTATGAACTCCCGTGCAGCGCCCCACTGATCAGATGCGAATTAGCCACGCTGTTTGTGCTCGGCGCTGGGTGGTGTGTGCATACAGACGGAGCAGATTTCGGCAGAGTTCAAGTGCCAAGCCCTTAAGTGCCACCCAGACAAACACCCCAGCGACGCCTCTGCAGGTAACGCGCATTGCCTTGGTGAGAGCATTAATGCATGAACGGAACAGGGATTTGCACAGCATTAAAAGTGTGATTTTTAATGCTGCATCTACGTGTGTCTGCGTCTCAAGACATGGACGTATTCATTGTTTAGTGAGAAAGAGGCAGCCAGTCACATCCAGAGGAGAAGAGCAAGGTCTTGAGCATGGACTGGAACAGGGGGAGGCAGTCGACAGCACAGGTGGCTAATCTATCTGTGCTCTCTACAGAGACTAATGTAACAGTGTGCAGACAACATTATTTGTAATTTTAATGACAATTTTTGGGCATTTACTTATATGCTTACAGTTAAGAACTGAACATTATGCTTATTACTAGAATGGTGACTCAGAGGTCAGAGCGTTGAGCTGGCACCACTGATATTCTTGGTTTAGATCCAGGCATCTGCCTGTTCCTTGATTGTCCAAGCCCATCCACTATTGACTGCACGAAAAAAAAAGTATTTCGTTATAGTTTGCTTTTGCAATTAATTTGGCCAAATTCCAGCTCTGAGAATCAAATATCAGTTTGAGTGTCACGTGATGACTATTACTTTCATATGCAGTGCGAGTGGGTAAGTGTTTCCATCTACTATGATATCCGCTTCTCTAACACAAAGGATTGCGCTGCTCTGCGAGAGATCTGTTTGCATAACTTTGTCTCTTGACACGACGCTGAGAGCATTAACGGGTTAAAATCGGGGTGAAATTACAAAAGCCGTTTTTATCCTAATGCTAGAATGAAAGAGTATCTAATCTTCTTACCGGTGTCCACTCTGTCTTGTTGGCCCATTATAGGGCAATCAAAATAATATTGGTAAACTGGCAGCAGAGCACAGGAAGCACTACCATTGCATTTCACATTTATAATAATCTGTCCGTACAGGAATCGCGATGTCAAATCAAACCAGCAACTTCTGGATTGTGAATTCCAGGATGCTAACCATGCACACACCATGGCAGCATGCGATTTAGTATATATGTAAACCTAAAATAATAAATACTCAAGAGTAAATACAGAAATGCTGAATGTGTAATATTATTATTATACAACTCCTATTGTAAACAGCGGTCATGCGCATGTTGGACTCACTGTAATTAATTGAGTTTGATAAAAAAATAAGCTTCAAAATAAGTCGACTGTAACATTCTAGGATTAAGATCTCATTCTCAAAATATTTTGACTCCCCATAACTTATACTGTATACATTCAGTGAATATAATCTTAACTAATTACAGGCAGCAAAACATCAATTTGGCAAATGCCTAAATTCTCAGTGATGCAGAACACATGGAAGCTTATGTTGGGCGGCTCGGAGAGTAGTGAAGCTGGAATTTTGGTGGGCGATGCTATCTGATATTTGGTATTGTTTTCATATCCTGAACTGACGCAAGATATATATATGTCTCTGGTACACTCTCAGGGGGTGGCATTCAAACCTGGTGTGGCTTTTGCGTAAATGCCTGTCTGACTGGGCCGTCTGACTTGAGTTTTCGTCCTGAGTGACGTCACAACTATTCATTCAGAGATTGTAGCATCTGACAGCACTTTGTGACTTAAATGGGACTCTGGGTTCAAAAGTGTTTGGATTTCGACTTCTAACATTGAATATTTTAGAGAAATGATAGCGTGAAATTGATAATTCAAGGATGCGGTGAACATGAAAATCCACATGAAAGGATTTTTGACATTGCTGTTTGCACATTTTTTTACGGAAGCATTTCTATAATGGGTATTTTTCATTTTCTGACAAAGTCTAATATCGTGAAATATCAAATGCAGTACAATTCTTGTAACTCGATATCTCATTCCGAAACTAAAGACGTGATATAACGTACACATGTTATGTACATAATAACAAATATTTATCTACGTATTTCAGACAAAATGAAAGATAATTATTTTTCCAGGAAAGGGATAATTTGTAAATGGCAGACTTTTTAAAGCGCTCTGGATAAGAATGCTCCACCTGATTAAGTTTGACTCAAATTGCCACTGCTAATGTCAATAATGAGCGAATTATTCAATTCAATCTGCTCCTGTACTTTAGTCAGACACAACAAAGTATATAGTGACACCACACTTCCTTCGCTTTTACCATTCTCTGTCAACTGTGTGTAGAATCAAAATCATTTCATTTGAGTCTCAATCAGTTTCCAGACATATTTCGAGTGTTTCTCAAAAAAAAAGAAACGGACTGCAGCTGTGAACGTTTCAACCGAATCAATATTGTTCAATTTAAAAGGCACACTTTCTCTGAATGAAGGTCGTCAATTTTAAACGCGGCAATTTTCCAGTAGAAATTGTGGACTTCTATTGAGTAGCCACTTATTAACAGTTGGTGATATAGGCCGCTCTATTCAATAACAGAGAAACATGGCTCATTGGAAACAGGGGGTGTATACAATTTCACACTTGCGAACCTAAACCCAATCTCTGGTTAGATTTGTTATTTATTTATAAAATGTTATATCTACAGGTTTATTGCTAGCATGAGTCACTGCTATGGCATTTGTAGCAGAGTGTGTCCCTGCCTTCAAGAGGGTGTTATACTGCAGCTATTGACGCATGCAAATACTCTCACCGAGAACTTAGTTTCATGTTTGTGTCTTAATACTTAAAACTCCATGGATGTTTGCAATGCTTGTACCGTATCCAGTACTGTTAACACTTTATACTAGTAATCATTTCACATCGTCATCATCAGCCATGTCCAATCCACTGCTGGATGAAGGCCTCCGAAAGCTGTCACCATCTCTCGTGATCCTAGCACCTGCACTCGAGCTGATTTCATCCCTACTCCAACATTATTCAAGACCACCAGACAAACTCGCTTTGAGCAACATGACCCGCCAACGCCCGTTTAATGCTTATCAACGATTTGAATTATGTCATTAACCTGTAAATACTGTGTACTGTAATCCATGAATCACTGCATGCGCAAATACATTTAATTTGAGTAGGTTCTTGCGCGTTTGAATATATATTTAAGGTCATCATGACACATCTAATCATTGATTGAAGCACACTCGGAAACAGCACAATCTCTGCAACTGAATACATTTTGAAGTCACGTGCCAGTGCACCACAATACAACGTGCATCACGTCTTATACGAAGCTTTTGACAAGACAATCGCTGTGTGTAGGCTGCACCTCGATTGGTCTTGATTTTCCAACTGCAATTTAAGCACATACTCTTTGATATTTCGGTAAAGTCACGTAGGTGAGAACAAAATAAAAAATGAGCAACACAAGCCTCCGTCATCAGGTGTGACTGCTCCAGCAAAATTACTGTAGCGTATAAAGCGAGCTATTTAGTTGTTTTCATTTTTATTTTGTTTTCACCTACGTGACTTTACCGGAAAAAACCAAAGAGTATGGATCCCTGCAGTCACGAAAACTTCAAATCTAGAATGCAATTTAAGCAGCTTTATTATCCATGTCCTTCAAGACTACTATTGTATTTAATTACAGTCATTATTCCTCTGACACATTCTGTATCCTTGCCACGATTATATTGTTTTATTTAATCACTGTCTTCTAAATACATTCTACCAGGAAAACAAATGAGCAGGCCACGACACAAAGACCGTACTTCATATCTTGTCGCTGTTATGTAATAGATGTCTTATTATGTTGATTCTGCATAACTCTTTGTCATGACTTTCTAATTTGAGTGTTTTCTGATTTTTCAAATTTCTTAGAAATACATTTTCAACGACTTAACTTAACTATAAGTTTATGTGTTAGAAAAATAAGCTTAACACTACTGTATACATCTCTTAACACTAGATCACATTTGGAGCATACATTTGCCAGATTTATTTTAAAAGCTTGTAAAAGCCCGTTAAATATAGTCACTTGTTTTTGTCGTCACGACAGCACCGCATTCATTTTGACATCGGTGACTAAGTTCCTGATACCTTGTTATTTTGGGTTACAATGTAACCATGGACACCACGAACCAAAATATGTCTGTCACTCAGCACATATCATTTCCGCTTCCACAGCGATCCCACTGACAGGTTTTATTTTTTATGAATGGCCAATATTCCTATCGGGCAAAGTACATTGGGATTTGACATTTTAAGCTTAGTTTTCCACCCACTCGCTATCTCAATAATCCCACAATGCAGAGCTAGCTGCGTGGCTTAGAGGGCTTTAATTCGCGCATCAGTGTAATGAGCCTGTGCCACTCGGTGAGACAACAGGTTGATGCTCATAACCCAATCTGCATTTAAAAATTGGTAGTTTCACTTAATCCACACAGCTTTGAGATCCATTTCGATTTAAAGCTTTCGTGACTGCAGGGATTCATCTTCTTGTTTCTTTCGGTAAAGTCACGTAGAAGGGAAGTAATAAAATAATAAAAATAAAACATAATAGAACAATTCTCACGACGTTTCGGCTACAACGCAAGCAGCCGTCTTCAGGTGAAGAATGAGACACTACCAAACTAGGAGCTTATATATAAGCTGCATTGGGGGTTGAAGAGCGCCTTAACAAAAAGAATGTGCATGTGAAGAGGGATTTAGCATATTCATGAAAATGCGTAGGCGTTGGGCGGGGGGGTGTCAAAGTCATATTATGCCCATGCATTATGCAGGATCAGCAGCAACCAAGGGGGGTGCAGGGATTAGCAGTAACAAAGGAAAGGAATGTTAATGATATGTAGCTGCAGTTACTCAACAACCACGTAGAAAACTAAAGTATAAACTACATAAAAAACTAAAGTATAAACTGCATCGCACCATCAGTATACTTACTATACTCTATAATAAGCTGAGTTACTAACAGCAAGTAATACATTACAATTCTACGTGACCAACCTATATAAGATATAGGTTGGTTTACAGCAATACAGTATATAATTTAATGTTGGGTTTATCTATGGCAGTATATAGTACGGTATATGCTCGTGTGATGTAAGAGAATAAGGTTTAGATGGAAGCATATTATAGAATTTTTACGAGGTAAAATT